TAGCTATGTGGCACTCAACACCGGAGGATCGCAAGTGGGTGGACCTCGAGTCAGAACTGATGGGCATAGACTTACCCCAATTCTACATTTGGCTGCCGAAGGAGCACAGGGCACTAATCCGCACACAATGCCCAGCGATCTTAAATTCCCTTAGAGTATGGGATGCCACGGCCCTGAAATACAAATTAACATCATGCCCCTCTCCTATGAAGCCCATACTAAGGAACAGGGCATTCCCCCCAGGAATGCGGGCACACGACTACAAACAAATAGAAGAGACAGGCCTACAGAGAGCACTACACCTATACGAAGGTGGTCGAGTCGTAACATTCGAAGCTCTGACAGAAAAAGCATGACTAAAGCCTGCTGACTTTTTTGGAAATATTCAAATACGTGATTTTGCACAACACACCTTAGCAAAGACAGCAACCCACACTAAATTAACGAGTTTCGAACAGATGTGCCTCAGGGAAAACCCCCAGTCAGGGCTTATCACTTCCATATATGCCCACTTAAGCTCCAACACTCCCGAAAGGGTTGAGCTTCACTACATAACACAATGGGAAACGGACCTGGGGGAGGTCCTAGAGGGCACAGAATGGAGAGAAATCTGGGAAGCAAACAAGGCCACTTCGATATGCGTAACACAACAGGAACAGGCATACAAAACCATGTTCAGATGGTATACCACACCAGTAAAATTATACCACATGCACAAATCTATAGATGACCTGTGTTGGAGGGGGTGCGGACATAAGGGGACATACAAGCACATGTGGTGGGACTGCCACAAAGCAAAAACCTTCTGGGTGGGGGTGCGGAGTTTGCTAGAGAGGGTGTTCCAAAGACAGATCAACATAGACCCTTGGGTGTTCCTTCTATCCTGACCAATAGATAACTGGCCGAGAACGGAACAAAAATTGTTCAACAAAATCACCTTAGCAGCTAGACAAACAATGGCACAGAGCTGGCTCAAGCCAGATATTCCCCAGATTAACGCAGTCATAAAAAGATAAAAGACGCCCACGTAATGGACCGACTAACAGCCCAAATCAGGGGCACACTAAAGGCACACAAAAAAGTATGGGAACTCTGGATGGCTGGGGATTGGAGAGACTAGGAGAAGGGAAGGAAATAGAGACATCATCCACACACTCACATGACTAACGCACACCCTACTCCCCACACAATGGCCATGGAATCATGGTAACCGAGATGGAAAAGTGGCACCCGCCGGGCCAACAAACCTCCAAGAGACCGGCAAGCAGATAAGACAAAGAGAGCATGAGAACCAGAAAACTCTGCTTTACTCCGACTCAACCACGTGAAAGACCTGATTTTTTCTCTCTCTCTCTCTCTCCCCCTCTTCTTTCTCTCCTTACTACCTCTCCGTTTCTAAACTCTTCAGGGAGAGTAAGCCACCATGCTAGGTACAAGTCTACCAAACGGAAGTAGACCAATAGACACCGTATGCATACACAATAACTCTCCTGGAAACAGTTGATGGTTAATTGTTAATTGTTAATGGTTGAAGGTGAAGAAGTATACAAATTGAGATAATACGAAGTCGTCAGCACGCAAGTACATTTTCATAGGGACAAGGTGGCGCATCAATGTGAAACTAACAATGTTTGTACTCACCTTTCTGTTATACGCAATACGTATTTGCTTCTAAAAAAGTACCTTGTAACTCACCGACTTACCAAAAAAAAAGAATAAAAAAAAAAAAAGGTAAGGATAGTATTAGACTAGTGACAGTTGCAAGAGAGGAATCAGTCGGGAGCTATTAACAGTTTAATCTATACGCTTTTATGAAGAAGTGGGTTTTTAACGATTTTTTTGAAGGAGTGGAGACTGGGTGAGCATCTAACGGAGGAGGGAAGCGAGTTCCACAGGAACGGTGCAGCCCTCGAGAAATCTTGAAGGCGAGCATCAGAGGTGGGAGTACGGACAGAAGATAGACGGAAATCGTAAGGGCCTAGACGGGACATACTTGTGTATAAGGGAGGATAGATAGGTGGGAGCAGCATTATGTAGCAATTTGAAAGCAAGAACCAGAATTTTAAATTGAGCTCTATATTTTATAGGAAGCCAATGTAGGGACTGACAGAAGGGTGAGGCATGGGAGGTGCGGGCGGACAGGAAGATGAGCCTTGCTGCCGCATTCATTATGGACTGTAACGGCGCAAGTTGGGAGCACGTAAGACCACTGAGAAGTGTATTACAGTGGTCAAGGCTAGAAAGGACAGTGGAATGGACCAACACCTTAGTCGCATCTGTCGTTAAGTATGGGCGGATGCGCGCAATGTTTTTGAGATGGAAATGACAGGATTTGGCGATAGATTGAACATGAGGCTTGAAGGAGAGGTCGGAGTCAAAGAGAACACCTAGGCAGCGAGCCTGCGTGGTGGAGCTGATGGTAGCACCGTTGACTTGGAGGGAGACAGACACATGAGTAACAACACTTGAGGGAGGAAAGACCAGAATTTCAGTTTTGGTCAAGTTTAGTTTAAGGAAGTGGGCAGCCATCCAGTTAGAAACAGCAGAGAGGCAGTCAGAGACACTAGTCAAGAGGGACGGGGAGAGATCAGGAGAGGACAGGTAGATTTGCGTGTCATCTGCATAGAAATTATATTGGAAGCCAAAGGAGCTAATGAATTTACCAAGGGAGGCAGTATAGATGGAGAACAATAGGGGACCAAGGACTGAACCTTGGGGGACACCAACTGAGAGGAGTTGAGGAGAAGAAGCAGAGCCAGAGAAAGAAACACTGAAAGAGCGCTGGAAAAGGTAGGAAGAGCACCAGGAGAGAGCAATATCTTGTAGACCGATATTGCGGAGGATGAGAAGAAGTTGTTGATGATCAACAGTGTCAAAAGCCGCAGACAGGTCAAAGAGAATTAGGATAGAGTAGTGACCACGAGATTTTGCAGCGAGTAGATCATTGGATACTTTTGTCAGTGCCGTTTCCACAGAGTGCTTAGCGCGGAAACCAGAAATTCATCATAGGTTTCTCTACTGTGATAGCACCGATCACTAATATGACACTTAAGCTCTAAAAGAATGGTGACATCTTTTGGAAGGTTCCAAGGATCCCCTCCTGATCATAATTGATCACAAAAACTTGACATACATTGGAGATGCTAAAAGGCTTTCTTATAGACAAGTTAGATGGTCATTGTTCTTGCCACGCTTTAACTTTATCATCACGTACAGACCAGGTCATAAGAACGTTAAGGCTGACGCCCTATCTAGGCAATTTGACATAGAGTCAGAATAAGAACAAGAGACCTCCCCTATCATTTCACCTGAGTGTATCATTGCCTCTACTGTCCTTTCCTTGTCTTCTCATCTTCTTTGTGCTATCATTGCGGCTCAATCTCAGGCACCTAGTGATAAACCTCAAGATAGATTGTTTATTCCGTTGCCATAAAGACAGGAGGTAGTAAGAGTGTTCCACGATAACGTGACAGCTGGACATCCGGGTATTAATAAAACTTTATCAGCTGTCTCCAGATCATTTTGGTGGCCTTCTCTTAGAAAAGACATCAGAGAGTATGTGGAGGCTTGTATTCTTTGTGCGGTTTCTAAGGTTCCCCATAAACTACCATGTGGGTTATTACAACCACTTCCTATACCCAGTGTTTCATGGTCTCATTGGTCTATGGACTTCATTGTGGAACTCCCGATTTCTAAGGGCTATACCACCATCCTTATGGTGGTTGATCGCTTTTCAAAAATAGCACACTTTGTTCCGCTCAGAAAGTTACCTTCTTCCCAAGATCTGGTTCATATATTTATATGCGAAACTGTCAGATTGTCTGTCAGATACTCTGATAACGAAGCCGCTTGCGAAAAAGTCAACAAAGGAAGGTCCACATCACTCGTGATTATGAGACCCGTAAGGAGACTCACATGGTTGGCAGCAACACACAGCTTTCACCTAGTGTGTATACATGTGCCTGGCAGAGAAAACATTGCAGCTGATGCTCTCTCTCCCTCCAACCTACAGGCAATTTTCAAACACCATCCTACGGCAACCAGCCAACCCGAGACTACCCCCGCTTTCCGGGACCTGATCATGGACTAGTCCTGCTAAAACAACACGCCCAGACCTTGGCTAAATCCACCTTATCAAACAACACCAAGAAAGCATACGACAGAGCACTGACCATCTTCACCAGGTTCACAGCCGAACATCACATCACCGACACATATACCATAGACATGATAATAGCATTCGCTGCTCACTGCGACTTACATCTGAAGTTAGCTCACAACACCATAAAAATGTACCTCACGGGAATACGACACCACCTACTCACTTCATTCCCCAATCACAGACCGTTCACGTCAAATTATTACTTGAAGAACATGCATAAGGGCATACAAAGCAGGGCAGGCCCCCCTAGTACTAAAAGACAGCCAAGAGACGGGGGTAAGTTCAAAGCCCTATTAGACTTACTGGACACCCAACCTTTTAAACCCCGTACTAACAACATAATCAAGGCAGCCATGTATATCACTTTTTACGGGTTCTTACGACCCAACGAGTTCACGGTGGGAAGTCTTTCAGGGAATCCTTCATACATAAGAATTAGGGATCTACACAAACAAGGAGACCACTAAATACTGCAATTAAGACGTTCCAAGACTAACCAGTTGGGGCCCCCAACAGAGGTCCAATACTTCCCGACATCTTGGATACCTTTTGCCTTTCTCTCACAGAACTACAGAGCTATTCCCCTGTGTTCAAAATACACAACAAACCACTCACCACTGCGCCAAGTTCATGTATTACCTAAGGACCATGGCTACTAGAATAGGCCACGACCCAATGTCTATCTCAGGGCACTCATTCAGGATTGGCGCCGGATCCAGCAAAAACGTGCCAACTCACATCATACAGAAGTTGGGCAGGTGGAAATCCGCCGCCTACTGTAAATATATTCCACAACCAGAGAAAGAACTCAGGAAAGCATTCAATGAATTGGTCATGGAAATAGAAGCATTAAAAGTGTTTTGTTTAAATCTTTTTTGCCCTCCTTTATTTCAGGCTCACCCGAGCGTTGGTTTAGGCACACCTCTACCAACTATGGTTACAACAATGACATCAAGTACGGCTTAAATGTTCTCGACTACAAATGTTAAGGCGGAGCCTGGAGTTGTGGGAGGGGTTAACCGGCCTACTTAAACTCTGACCTACCCCTAGTCATTACTGATACCGACCAGACTCCCCACCCACCACTCCCTAGATGGGCACTCATTTATTTCAGGCTCACTCGAGCGTTGGTTTAGGCACACCTCTACCAACTATGGTTACAACAACGACATCAAGTATGGCTTAAATGTCCCCCCCGACTAGATGAAAATGCTTGTTCTTGGGTAGAACATTGGCTTAAAAACAGAGTACAAAGAGTTGTCATTAATGGTAAATTTTCAAGCTGGACAGAGGTGGCAAGTGGTGTCCCTCAGGGGTCTGTTCTGGGATCCCTTCTATTTAACATGTTTATAAATGATCTTGAAGACCGCATTGAAAGTCATGTTTCAGTGTTTGCAGATGACACCAAACTTTGTAAAACAATGCAATATGAGCAAGATATTACTTTGAAGCAGAGGGATTTAGATAGACTGGGGGACTGGGCACTCAAATGGCAGATGGAATTTAATGTTGAAAAATGCAAAGTTATGCACTTCGGCGTAAAGAATACACAAGCAACGTATACCCTTAATGGAAGCGAATTAGGGATAACAACACATGAAAAGGACTTGGGAATTGTTATAGACAACAAATTATGCAACAATGTGCAATGTCAATCAGCAGTGGCCAAGGCCAGTAAGGTATTGTCATGCATGAAAAAGGGCATTCATTCTCGGGACAAGAATATAATTTTGCCTCTTTATAAATCACTGGTAAGACCCCATATTGAATATGCTGTGCAATTTTGGGCACCTGTTCTAAAGAAGGATATTATGGCACTAGAAAAAGTGCAGAGGCGGGCTACAAAATTAATAAAAGGAATGGAACATATCGGCTATGAAGAAAGGTTAACAAATTTAAACCTATTTAGTTTAGAAAAGCGTCGCCTGAGAGGGGATATGATAACATGATACAAATATATTCGGGGCCAATACAAACCATTGTGTGGAAATCTATTCACAAACCGGACTTTACATAGGACACGAGGCCATGTGTTTAGACTGGAAGAAAGAAGATTTCGTCTAAGGCAAAGGAAAGGTTTTTTTACTGTAAGAACAATCAGGATGTGGAACTCTCTGCCTGAAAAAGTGGTTTTATCAGAGCCCATACAGATGTTCAAACGGCTACTAGATGCATACTTGCAAGAACAGAATATTCAAGGATATAATCTTTCAATGTAGGGTAATAACTGCTTGATCCAAGGATAAATCTGACTGCCATTCTGGGGTCAAGAAGGAATTTTTTTCCTAGCTTGTTGCAAAATCGTGCTTCAAACTGGGTTTTTTTGCCTTCTTTTGGATCAACAGCAAAAAAACAAATGTGAGGTAGGCTGAACTTGATGGACGCAAGTCTCTTTTCAGCTATGTAACTATGTAACTATATATATATATGTATTATATATATCTTATATAAATGTAACTTTATTCTAAGTGTATTTTAATACTAATATATGTACTTATATTAACATTAAAATATACTATGTATGATGTTACATATATTAATTTATTTTACATGTTTAATTATTATTATTTTTTTTTCTTCCCACCAGCAGGGGGACTGTCTGACCACCCAGACAGTCTCCCTGCAGGCAGATCCACAGCCAGCTATAGGGGGCCATGTGATCGCTCTTTGAGCGCGATCACATGGTACCCGGGGGCCTGATTTGCCAGGGGAGGGCTGCCTGGGCTGTGAGGCAGTCCTCGGATCGCCGGGAAGGTGAGTAGATGGAGGCTCCTGGGCGCTTAAGTCGTTACGGCGTTCTATGCCGTTGCAACTGCTTTAAAGCCCATTATAATGGGGACGGCATAGAACGCTGTAACGGCATTAAGGGGTTAAAAAGCCTGCAGGGACATACTATGCGCACCAAAACAACTTTAGCTTAATAAAGCCATTTTGATTTAAAGATCATGCACCTGCAGTCTCACTGCTCAATTCTCTGTTATTTAGAAATTAAATCACTTTGTTTAGATGGTCTGCAATAAGGGAAACTAAAATAATTAGACTCTTTTTCATGAAGTATATAGGGAGACTGTGTGTTTCTCGGCCAGAGGAGGTGTGGCTAGTGCTGCATGAACAGTGATTTAACTCCTAAATTGTAAAGAATGGATTAATAATACTGCAGTAACATGATCTACATTCCAAAACCACCTAATTAAGCTAAAGTTGTTTTGGTACTAGAGTATCCCTTTAACCCCTTAAGGACACATGACATGTGTGACATGTCATGATTCCCTTTTATTCCAGAAGTTTGGTTCTTAAGGGGTTAAAGGGACACTATAGTTACCAGAAGAACTACAGCTTATTGTATTTGTTTTGGTGAATATAATCATTCCCTTCAGGCTTTTTGCAGTAAACACTGTCTTTTCAGAGAAAATGCAATGTTTAAATTACAGCCTAGGGATAACTCCATTGGCGACTCATTAGATGACTGCTTAGAGGTGCTCTGCATGGAGACACTGAACTTTCCTCAAACAGATGTATTGAGTCAATGCATCTCTATGATGAGATGCTGATTGGCCAGGGCTGTGTTTGGCTTGTGCTGGCTCTGCCCCTGATCTGCTGATGCTGAGAGCCAGCAGCAGACTTGAATACAAGTAAGATTTCACTATATTTAGGGAGGCAAGGGGGGGAGTGGGGTGGGGGCAGGGTGGCTATACAGTGGTTTTAACACTATAGGGTTGGGAATACATGTTTGTATTCCTGACCCTATATGGTTCCTTTAACCTTTAGCCTAAAATACAAAAAAAAAAAAACAGGTTGCGCCAAAATGTTTAAAACAATAGAATAATATAATAATAAAAATATTTTTAAAAGTCCAAATATTCACAGTCCAAATATTGCAATCCCAACTGTTTCTGGATTCTTTCGGAATGTTGATTCTTGGTTAAGGTGCTTGCAAATATATGTAGGGAGACACAAAGTGGCAAATAATAGTGCAGACTGTTTTGGCAGAAAAATAGGACTCACAACAGTAGTGTATGACGTAGCATTCACATGTTATTGAGCTTAAACTAGCTCGAAGTACGATTGCTTGCAGCAATACAATCCCCACTGATAGATATAACTTATGAAGCGAATATCTCGGTATGCAGGTAGGTATATGAAAGAAAAAGAAAATATCCAATAGTGCTCACTGTAAACATAAATATGTGATGGAGTTCAAAAATTTATAATACTCACATCTGATAGAGAGTTAAGTTGCTCAAATATTTCTGCATGGTACCCTCTCTCTTACACGCTCCTCATGTGCCAGTTCACATCTTTCCTCCTGTGTGTAGCAGGGCCAAGCACAGACCGCAGGAGAGGAGCTTGTCTCCCTCTCCACGGTCTGACACAGAACAGTTTGGCTCTCTCGTTGAACGCTTCCTTTCAGACTTGGGTGAGGGAAACAAGCTCCTCTACCCCGGTTTGTGGCTCGGCCACGCTGCATACAAAGACTGTCAAGACCCTGCACCTGGGAGTCACATTACTGAAGCATATGTCTGTAAATATGTCTAAGTGTGTGTAAATCAGCATTGCAGTATGTATGTGTCTGGAAATGAGTGTATGTATTTGACAATGGATATTGTTTCTAGGAGTTGGCGTTTGTCTGAGAGTGAGTGGTTGAATCTGGAGTAAATGTATCTGTGTGTGCATGTGAATGCAGAGTGTATGTGCGTATCTGTGTGTCAGTGCATATCCATGTGTAGGTCAGTGAGCATGTCAATGCACCTACGGGCAGGGCCGGTGCCACTGTTAGGCAAACTAGGCATTCCCCTAGGGCTCTGGCCTGCTAGGGGCACCCACCAGGATATTTCCTGGTGGGCTCCCACTATCCTGAGCAGCAGCACTGGGCAAGTGGCGCTAGAGCTGTGTGTGTCTGTCAGTAAGTGAGTGTATGTATGTCAGTGAGTGTCTGTCTGTGTGTGTGTTTGTCAGTGAGTGAGTGTATGCATGTCAGTGAGTGTCTGTATGTGTGTGTCTGTCGGTGAGTGTCTGCCTGTGTCTGTCAGTGAGTATATGTATGTCAGTGAGTGTCTGTCTGTGTGTGTGTCAGTGAGTGTGTGTCTGCCTGTGTGTGTCTGTCAGTGAGTGTCTGTCTGTGTGTGTGTTTGTCAGTAAGTGAGTGTATGTCTGTCTGTGTGTATGTCTGTCAGTGAGTGTGTGAGTGTTTGACTGTCAGCGTGTGTCTGTCAGTGAGTGTCTGCCTGTGTGTGTGTATGTCTGTCAGTGAGTTTCTGTGTGTGTCTGTCAGTAAATAAGTTTCTGTGTGTGTCTGTCAGTGAATGAGTGTGTCTGTCAATTAGAGAGTGACATGAGGGGGCGGCAAAATGGATCTTTGCCTAGGGCGGCAGAAATCCTTGCACCGGCCCTGGCTATGAGAATGCATGTGTCTGTCTGTCTGAGATGCATATCTTTATCTGTTTAGATATGGGAATGTCTGTGTGTCTGGCAGTGTGTGTGAATGCTTGGGTATCAGAGACTGGGAGAGTATGATTTGGGGAGGCCTAGCCAGTAAATTTGAAAAGGACCCAAGATTTCTGGTGGCAACCCTGCCTCCATAGACATTAGTGTTGTACTCTTGCACAAGACGGTGCTTGCTGTGGACAGCATCAAGTAAGCATAACTTACCATAACTGCACTTCAAGCCAAACATTTGCAAAAGATTTGAAGACTCCAGAAGGTGATAATGCCACTGTTTTATTTGTAAATGTATTTTGATTAGGTTCTCTTCATGTTAATATGTCATAAGAAATCAAAATTGTTCTTACAGGAGTAAAGCAGTCCACATACTGATGTCTCTTTTAAATCTCAGTTAGTGAAAGCAATGATCAACATTTAGCAAATATTTACTGAATGTTAACTGTTCTAAAAATTAAAACAAATGGAATTTAAATGTCTTGTAGATCCCTAACAATCATATTTTCAAAATTGTACATTTGTTTATACATAAGATTACCAGATAACAAATGAACAGTACCCGACATATGTTTGTTGTGGTAAGAATGCAAGCATTATCACATATCGGTTGTAAAACTATTCTGATATAGAAAAGGTCACTTTTACATAAGTATCTCCTCAGTCTTTTCCCTTTCCTTACATGTCTTAACGTGTCTCCTTTCCCTAAATTTTTCCAGTTAACTGTTCGCCAACTATATTTTTTAGCCTCTTGGCACCAGCAGACTGTGCGAGCTGGCATCAGACACCAAATTTGGATTCACATTCACATTAGCCAGTCAAGATTTTAAGTGAAGAAAATAAAGGTAATGATTTTATACTTTACTGTATATTTTGGAAGTATATTTATTCCTCGCTATATGAACTGCTTATAATCTTTTTATAATCTGAGTTGTCACACAGGTTCATATCCTGTGTTAGCCAAAGTGCATATGAGTAGTATGAAGATTTTTTTCACCCTTAAAGCCATTTTTTTTTTCAACATTAGCCACCTGGAAATTTTGTTCCTTGTACTCTTAAAGACCACTATAGTGCCAGGAAAACAAACTCGTTTTCCTGGCACTATAGTGCCCTGAGGGTGCACACACCCTCAGGGTCCAACTCCCGCCGGGCTGATGGGGGAGGAAGGGGGTTAAACACTCACCTTTCTCCAGCGCTGGGCTCCATCGGCGCTGGGGACTCTCCCCCTCCTTCGGTCATCGCCTGAATGCGCATGCGCGGCAAGAACCGTGCACGCATTCAGCCAGTCCATAGGAAAGCATTCTGAATGCTTTCCTATGGACGCTGGCGTCTTCTCACTGTGAAAATCACAGTGAGAAGCGCGGAAGCGCCTCTAGCGGCTGTCAATGAGACAGCCACTAGAGGCTGGATTAACCCATATGTAAACATAGCAGTTTCTCTGAAACTGCTATGTTTACAGCAGGCAGTGTTAATCCTAGATGGACCTGGCACCCAGACCACTTCATTGAGCTGAAGTGGTCTGGGTGCCTATAGTGGTCCTTTAATAACTAGACTGAATGTGGAGTTACACCTCCATCAGCGGTTTTCAAACTCTGCAGGTACAGTCTGTCATGCGCACATACAGACCCTAGGTATCCAATTTAAATCATTTATGCTAACAGTAACCCTTTAATTACTAGAACCATCAGGGGAAAAAAAACAAACAGAAAAAAAAGACAATATTCACTCACAAAAGAGCGACAAACTGGAGACAAATCAGCAGAGTGAGCGGAAAAAAAGAATACAGAGACTGGAAGACAGGAATATTTATCTGGGTAGGGAAGGGGGGAATAAAAAATGATGACAGAGAGAAAAAAAAAGATTAGGTAAGAGAAGAGAACTGATACTAGAGTGAACTGTTAATAAAAAGGACACATGGCTACAGTCATTCACATCTTCGCTTAGAGTGGCAAAAATCTTTGCATCAGCCCTGTGCTTTGAAAGAATCTTGTTAAAGAGCAACGACACAAAACGCGCCGTAGACTGTAGCCTTATGGGATAATCACTATTTTATTTTAATTGAATTTCTACATTGCCGTTCACTTTGTGTATTTTCGTGTGCACTGACCGCCACCAATATACAGCATTGAAAGGCTAAGGCGCACCACAAAAGATATTGGAATGCATGCTCTAATAGCAATTTGAACATTAATTTCTCCAAAAATATTTGACAGAAATGATACAATAATAGTCAAACTGTAGGTTTTGCTCTGTGCACAGAAAGCGTTATTGTGGGGACACTGTGAGGGATAGGGGAGAAAGAGTGGCTGGTATGATGATTGCAGGGATTAATAGTAAAAGGAATAAATGGATCATATCTAATTCAGTAGTCAATAAGGGCCCAAACAGCTTTTTTTTTTTTTTTTTTTTATCATAAATGTCTGTGCAGAATTTTTGAAGTTGCAACATTCTATTTACAAACACTGTATAGAATGACCAGCAGTGATTGGAATTTAAACTGCTTAATCCTTTCATAATGAATAAAACACTAATACATTAATATTTGTTTTATCTCATGAGGTCCTGTTTATTTTAACTTTGATTTCTCAGTGTCACATTCCCACTATCGGGTCACAGACTAGGGCTGCTCTTACTAGAGCCCGAGGCTCCCAGAGCTCCCCAGAGAGTGTAGGCCCTGGAAAAAAATCGAGATCCGGCACTGGACCTCAGCTCATAGCGGGGGAAGGGAAATACGAGGAAAAGTAATCCCTATGGTATTTTCATTCTCTCTATGGTGCGCTTTTCCATGTGTGACCCCGAGCAATATAGTTTGGATGTATTAATCGCACTTTCTTATATCACTGGCTCTATTTTCTCTGTAATGTGGGACCCAGTTATCTTTCAGACGGAAGGATTTTAAATCTCGGTCAGAGATCACTCCGCTCGGAGGAGCAGGGAAGGGGGAGGAGAAGGAGGAGGAAAGCAGCCGCGGCGGGTTCACACGCAGCATGGAGAGCCCGGAGTGGGGCAGCCGGGGCCGGGATCGGGAGAGCGGGGAGCAGTGAGCCCACCACGAGGAGCGGCATGTCCGGGCCCCGCCGGTGACACACAGACATGGGGGCCGTGCTGAGGAGCCTGCTTGTGTGCAGCCTGTGCTGCCTACTGAGGGGTGAGACACACACTGCGAGGGGTACAGGCTGGGTGCTGGGGGGGTCAGTCACTTTGGAAGGGGTAGTGGCCTGGTGCTGGGGGCGAGAAACACTGGAAAGGGTACAGGCTGGGGGTTACAAACAGACTCTGGATGGGGTAATGGCTGGCTACTGAGGTATGAGACACAGACACTGAAAGGAGTAATGGCTGGGTGGCTAGAAACACACACTACAAGGGGTACAGTCTGAGGTGAGACAAGGACACTGGAAGGGGTACAGGCTGAATGCTGGTGGTGAGATGCAATCACTGGAAGGGGTACAGGCTGAATGCTGGTGGTGAGATGCAATCACTGGAAGAGGTACAGGCTGAATGCTGGTGGTGAGATGCAATCACTGGAAGGGGTACAGGCTGAATGCTGGTGAAATGCAATCACTGGAAGGGGTACAGGCTGAATGCTGGTGGTGAGATGCAATCACTGGAAGGGGTACAGGCTGAATGCTGGTGGTGAGATGCAATCACTGGAAGGGGTACAGGCTGAATGCTGGTGGTGAGATGCAATCACTGGAATGGGTACAGGTTGAATGCTTGTGGTGAGATGCAATCACTGGAAGGGGTACAGGCTGAATGCTGGTGGTGAAATGCAATCACTGGAATGGGTACAGGTTGAATGCTGGTGGTGAGATGCAATCACTGGAAGGGGTACAGGCTGAATGCTGGTGGTGAGATGCAATCACTGGAATGGGTACAGGTTGAATGCTTGTGGTGAGATGCAATCACTGGAAGGGGTACAGGCTGAATGCTGGTGGTGAGATGCAATCACTGGAAGAGGTACAGGCTGAATGCTGGTGGTGAGATGCAATCACTGGAAGAGGTACAGGCTGAATGCTGGTGGTGAGATGCAATCACTGGAATGGGTACAGGCTGAATGCTGGTGGTGAGATGCAATCACTGGAAGGGGTACAGGCTGTGGGATACTAGAATAGGGATATGCTTAAAGGCTGGCAGGTGAGACTATGAAGGAGCACTGGATGGGTGCAGGGGAAGACACTGAAAGTGTCACTGGCTGGAGGTGAGACCTTAAATGGTGCACATGCTTGGTTATGATACTGAAGGGGTCTCAGGCTGGAAGTATGATGCTAAAGGGGGCATAGGTTAAGTGGTGAGGGTGTGAAAGTATGGGCACAGAATGGGTGCTGATGTTGAGACTCTGACGGGGTCACTTACTGGCTGCTGGGTCACTGGAGTGCTGTGAGTGAGGCACGCTGTGTGCTGGGGTAAGATTAAAGGGGGCGCAGGCGATGGTGATAGGGGACCTATGGTGGTATATGATGGCCAAAGTTAATCTGGTCATTTGTCCACACCATATATACCAGGGCTGCCCAAAGGGTAGATCCCCAGATGTTTTTAAACTACAGCTTCCATTCTATTTTGTCATGTAAAGGCATACAAAACAGTGGGGGTTGTAGTTTAACATCTGGAGTTCTACCTTTTAGTCAGCCCTGATATAGACTAAAGAGTAGTACGGAATGGTTTCCACCTTCGCACCCAGATTTTAACATTTTTTAAAAGGTGATTGAGCCCATTATCATGAATCAAGTATATGAATTTTGTGTAATTGCCTTAATATGGAGGCAACGGGTAGACTGGCATATGTTGTCAGTTAACAGTGTGGGAATCCCTGGATAGGAAAATGAGGCTTAGGGTGTTGGTAGCATATAGTGCTATTGGTGATATGCATGGAGAAATAAAGATTTATTTGAGAATCTTTATATTGGTTAATTTTTCTGAAGTGTTTTTATTTTTTTATTTTTTTTTATTTTTTTTATTTCTTCTACCCTACCTGTAGAAAGAAACAGTTTGACATTGGTTTCTAGACATAACTTAGATGAAATGTAATGTCAGTGACTGTTGTAGGTTTATTACTGAGCTTGTTTGAGCAGGGCCTTCATCTACCTATTGTTCCTGTGTAATTGTCTAATTTATTGTAAATTTCCTCCCTTTCATAATATTGTAAAGCGCTGCGGAATTAGTTGGCGCTATATAAATAATACTAAGCCACAGCTTAGTCTGTATGGTCTTTGTAGAATTATTTCTATAACTTCTAAGGGGTATGGACACCATTAAATAGAGTAGTATTTGTACATACTAATAAGTAGTAGTCTTTTTGTGTGTCTCTGATTGCTTATCACCAGCCCTACCCCTCCTCCACTTTCAATTTACATGCAAATAGACCCCAAGCAAACACATTTAAATTACTTATTCCCCATCTCATCACCATCTTGGTTGGGTTGCTTCCCCCTAACCAAGTAAGCCAATATCCATCAATGTGAATAAAAGCAGGTTTTTCGGCCTTGCCCATTGTAGGGTTTAAATTGATGTTTTTCTCTTATTTGAAAAAGTCTTAGGTTTGCAAAAGTTCTCTGTTTACTTTTCATCTTAATGGCGTTTTTAAATGTTTATTAATTCTTCACAAGTTAAAGGATAGTTCACAGACATAATGTAGAAACCCAGGTACTAGAAACTATCTCTTGAATTTTTAAATTTTATTTATTTATTTTTTTTAGCAATTTTAGACATGTATTGTACATTCCACGTCAAAAAAACACTTCTTATTATGGTTCTAATACACCTTGAGTGGTGGCACTCAAACACCAGATCAGTTTAATTTTGTACTTTTTACAAGATCTCTAAGTTGCACTTCTTTTCTGATGAAGCTATACAGTAAACAAATTGTTTTATTACGTGGTCTCCAAAAATATCAAAACATGTTTTTTTTTTCGTTGTGTTTTTTATTCCTTTCTTTTTCTTCCCCATATGGGCAACATTTAATTTAATACATTTTCTCCAATATTTAAATTGCCCTTTTAGCAATAGATCATGCATTCTTACAGTGCTACAGGAGTGCAAAACATAAATGTTTTTGTTCCCCCTCCCCCTTCACAACTGAAAATGCTAAGAAACAAGACAAAAGAATTTCATTCCTCTGTACTAGTAAAATATAAATGCTTCTCAAATGTCTCCTAATTGTAAATGCTTCTGCCATATGGCTGTTTTTATTTTTTTTAAATCAAGCAAACTCTGAACTTGAATAATTTTAAATGTTCCAGATAGAAAACTGTTTTGAGTTTCATAAAGCTTCCCCCCCATTGCTGTATGAAAAGGAAATTAAAACCCACTTTGATTAACTCGGATTGGCTTGCAATCAGTGAAACTTTTATTTTCATGGGCACTAGGATTAAAAACTATTTCCGAAAGCTGGTTGCTTTTTAGCAAAAGAATGTTGTGCATTTTTTTTTTTCCTCTTGCTTCTCAGCTGCCAGACATACTATACCCAGCTGTGATAAGTTTTTGTGTCTGCTGCGTTCGGATTACCCTATCACTATTATGGAATATAAACCCTATAAATTGTGCAGTTAGAATTTCTCAATTATCCCTATGAATCCTGCTTAAAGGGACACTATAGTTACCAGAACAACTACAGCTTATTGAATTTGTTCTGGTGAGTAGAATAATTCACTAAAGGTTTTTTTCTGTAAGCACTGTCTTTTTAGAGAAAATGCAGTGTTTACGTTACAGCCTAGTGATAACTTAACTGGCCACTCCTCAGATGGCTGCTAGAGCTACTTCCTATTTCAGTCTTGCCTAGTTTGAATCACAACATTCAGTATCCTCTCCCCCCTCCCCCTCCCGCATTGATTTATTTCATCTCTATGAGAAGATGTTGATTGGCCAGGGCTTTGTTTCACTTCTGCTGGCTCTGCCCCTCATCTGCCTCCTTGTCAGTCTCAGCCTATCCTATGGGGAAGCATTGTGATTGGCTCAGAACAACACTTCTGATGATGTCAGCAGGCAGCTTACTGTTCTGAGGCAGAGCCAGCAGCTTCAGGCTTAAATACAAGTAAGCTTTTACTATATTTAGAGGGGTCAGGGGGACTAGATGGTGGTTTTAACACTATACTGTCAGAAATATGTTTGTGTTCCTGACCCTATAGGTCTCCTGTAAACATTACACACTAAATTATAATGCCATTATTCCCTTTGTGTACCGTTTGAAATATTCTTATTTGTAAGAATCAAAGCAGGAAAAAAATATTAGTGGGAAAACCATATTTATTTCATGGAAACGACAGCTTGGGTAAAACTTTAAAAGTAAACTAAATAATTTTATGAAAGAATGTCTCTTTTAAGTAAAAATTTAATTCTTCTGTTTTCTAGTGCTATTGTTCTTCCTAGGTAAAATATGCAAGTTGTGGGCTTCTCCCACAAACATTTTATTGGGGCTCATGACGTAAAACTAAGCAAAGGCACAGAAAAGCATTTAATAAAATGAAATCTCTACTTGTACGATTTCTTGGATCTGGGTGCTATTTACAGGAAATATAACAAAAACAAGTTTTTGTGGCAAAGAAAATGATAAAAAAAAAAAATCCGTTTTATGTGTTTACACCAAGGTATTGAAGTAGATAACTACTGACTACTGCATCTCTTATTCGCCCATGAAATTACATGTTGTGGTGTATCTGAAAATAAAATAATTCAAGGCTGGCAAAAACATTTGCTCCGAGCACTAACTTACCAATACTGTGCAGCCTTATATTGTTTGGAGGTAGATAGTTGATAGAATAGTGCTTGGGGCATTCATAGATTTGGAGTAGTGTATTACTGTTACTATGGTTCCTACAATTTGGCCCTAAACACTAACTCTAATATATAATGTAACTGCACATAGGTTACAAGAATATATTTTTGGGAACATGCCCAACCCTGTTAAGTTTTATCAAGGGGAGAGACTATATGATGCCTAGCATTTGATTGTGTGGCAGTTCCCATCATGCTTGGCCATAAAGTGGTTTAAAGGATCACTATAGGGTCAGGAGCGCAAACATGTATTCCTGACACTATAGTGTTAACATCACCATCTAGACCCCCTGGGCCTCTCATGCCTCCATAAATATAGCAAAATCTTACTGTATTCAAGCCAGAAGCTGTAACTCTGCATGCTGTTTGCCTAAAAAAACAAACAAAAAAAAACAAGCAGTCTGCTGACATCATCAGAAGTGGTAGCCTGATCCACTCACAATGCTTCCCCATAGGATTGGCTGAGACTGACAAGGAGGCAGATCAGGGGCAGAACCAGCATGATTCAAACACAGCTCTGGCCAATCAGCATCTTCTCATAGAGATGAATTGAATCAATGAATCTCTATGAGGAAAGTTCAGTGTCTGCATGCAGAGGGAGGAGATACTGAATGTTTGGATGCATTTTAGGCAGCCATGACCCAGGAAGGATCTCTAACAGCCATCCGAGGAGTGGCCAGTGAAATTATCCCTAGGCTCTAATGTAAACACTACATTTTCTCTGAAAAGATAGTGTTTACAGCAAAAGGCCTGAAGGTAATGATTCTACTCACCAGAACAAATTCAATAAGCTATAGTAGTTCTGGTGACTATAGTGTCCCTTTAACATATTTAGTGTGGCATTGTACAGCTAGTGAACGAATACTGCTTCTGACTTTGGTAACTTACCAAGCTCATTGTCTAATTAGTAGAGCATTTGAGTGGTGCTTCCCAGTTTAGTTGTTGCAGGTTCACTTTGGGACAGATGCTAAGAAGGGATACATGCCAGTCATTTAATACAGCTTTAAAAAGATTCTTATGTAGTCTATTCCATATGGTCTCTGGAATTAAATCAAAGTTCACTACAAGATCTTTTTGTGCACCTGGAAGTCTTTAATTCTTCCACACTAAACATTTACAGCAGAACACTCACTCCTGAAACAAAATGGCTATTATTCTGTGATTTGTGAAATGCTGTTTAAACCTCACATTATGTGTATACCTTTTTATGGCAAAGGACATCATTTGGTTTAATATCTTCCTAGTTTAAAAAAAACAAAAAACGTAAGCAAACTCAATAGTGCTTGATGCATTTAGAAAAAGTTATAACAAAATGTAATTTGGTACACAGTAAATTTTGGAGGTCTTCACTGCAAGTGCAATCTTAAAGGAAGACCTATCGGACTTAAAGGGACACTATAGTCACCTGAACAACTTTAGCTTAATAAAACAGTTTTGGTGTATAGAACATGTCCCTGCAGCCTCACTGCTCAATCCTCTGCCATTTAGGAGTTAAATCCCTTTTGTTTATGAACCCTAGTCACACCTCCCTGCATGTGACTTGCACAGCCTTCCATAAACACTTCCTGCAAAGAAAGCCCTATTTAGGCTTTCTTTATTGCAAGTTCTGTTTAATCAAGATTTTCTTATCCCCTGCTATGTTAATAGCTTGCTAGACCCTGCAAGAGCCTCCTGTATGTGATTAAAGTTCAATTTAGAGATTGAGATACAATTATTTAAGGTAAATTACATCTGTTTGAAAGTGAAACCAGTTATTTTTTCACGCAGGCTCTGTCAATCATAGCTAGGGGAGGTGTGGCTAGGGCTGCATAAACAGAAACAAAGTGATTTAACTCCTAAATGACAGTGAATTGAGCAGTGAAATTGCAGGGGAATGATCTATACACTAAAACTGCTTTATTTAACTAAAGTAATTTAGGTGACTATAGTGTTCCTATAATGTATAGTTTTCAGTGTGTAGCACATGGCCCACAAAAGTGTGTTGGCCAGAGTGTCATTTTTACGTGGTGGGGTGGTAGAAGTGTCTGAATAAGTCAGATGATTTCGAAGTGTGTTTTTCAGGGAGTTGTTGAGGAAGAGAATGATAGATGATTGATTAGTAGTACCAAGGTATATTGGGAAGCTGTCATTAGTTTGAGAGGAGCAGGAGGAATAAGAATGGGCAAATGCAGTAATAAGAAGCTGGGCTGTTTATGTGCTTTGTCCTCTGGGTATGATGGTGCACGCACAGTGCCGTCATGGTCACTGTAGACAATCATTAAAGGGACACTATAGTCACCCAGACCACTTCAGCTCAATGAAGTGGTCTGGGTGCCAGGTCCCCCAGGTTTTAACCCTTCAGATGCAAACATAGCAGTTTCAGAGAAACTGCTATGTTTACATTTGGGGTTAAGCCAGCCTCTAGTGGCTATCTACTGGACAGCCACTAGAGGTGCATCTGCGACGCTGGAGGCAAATTTCGCCTCCATTGTGAAGAGCGTCCATAGGAAAGCATTAAGAAATGCTTTCCTATGGACACTTTGAATGCGCGCGGCACTTGCTGCGCATGTACATTCGGCTCTGCTGGTGTTGACTGGGGAGGAGAGGGGTTTTAACCCCTTCAGCGCCACGGGAGGGGGACCCTGAGGATGGGGGCACACTCAGGGCACTATAGTGTCAGAAAAAACGCTTTGTTTTCCTGACACTATAGTGATCCTTTAAGAAAAATGATTCTCTATGGAAAAATTATAGGCGCATTGTGGCAAGCGCAGCTCCTATGAGGAGCATTAGATTGGAGGCACAACTCCCTCACCCTCCCCTCCATCCCCCCCATTGATAGTGTGTGAACGCCATTTGAATGAGAAAGTGACTTGTTCTTTACTTCTTTTGATACTCTTTTAGGATCTCCAATATTGCTGTACGCTAATCGCAATGACCTGCGGCTTGTGGATGCTAATGGAATGAAGAACTCCACAGTAGTGGTCAGTGGGCAAGAGGATGCTGCGGCTGTGGACTTTTTGTTTTTCCGGGGATTAATATATTGGAGTGATGTAAGTGAGGAAGCAATCAAAAGGATACATTTTAATAAAACTGGGAGCACACAGGATGTTGTCATCAGTGGTCTGCTTTCGCCAGATGGACTGGCTTGTGATTGGTTAGGAGAGAAACTGTACTGGACAGACTCTGAAACAAATCGAATTGAGGTTTCTAATCTGGATGGATCTTTACGGAAAGTATTATTCTGGCAAGAACTTGATCAACCTCGAGCAATAGCATTGGATCCTATAAGAGGGTAAGTGTTGTAGTGATTTTCTTTCTTTTTTTTTAGTTTGGTGTGAATTTTTCATTGCAGGTTCATGTTTGGATGTATTCCAATGCAATCAAATTTTCATATGTCATATATAGAAAAATTATATATTGCACAAGGAATTTTTGGTTCATTACATACACCTCCTCTCCAGTGCCAAATGTGCCACTAATTTTCCAATTTTCATCTTTGATAGACTAATAAAGGAACACTGCAGGCACCATAATAACTTAACTCAAATTAATTTATGGTACCAGGAGGTCAGTGGCGCTGGCTCACCTTTAGGTTTTAAACTGCTCACAAATGGTTTAACCCCCAAAATCTGTGTTCCAGCTCCAGATTGCCCAATATGTCCTTTATCTGAAATCCTAGATAATAGGCTCATGCAGGGGTGCCACAGATTGGATGTGAGTGATCAACTGACGCTGTAAGCCAGTTAGTAGCGATGCTGCCCAAGCCTTTTATTATCTAGGATTTAACAAAGCAAAAGGACAGTGGGGCAGTGTGATCCGATGCTGGGACACAGACTGTAGGGTAAAACTGTTTGTGAAGGTGAGCCAGCGTCAGGAACCTCCTGACACCGTAAAGATAACATGCCATTTAAGTTGTTATGGTCCTAAACTGGTTCTTTTTAAGGAGTTTTTTATTTTTTGTTATTGTGGTTAAAACCTTGAAAAGCCTATGCCCAACCTTTTGATAATATATCTGTTGTTATTATAATATCCTAATATATATGTATTGTGAACTCTGTTCAAAAACATCATTATCAATACATGTATATATTATTTTTGTTGAATGCCTGTGTTTGTAACTCGCAAGGGAACTGTACTATAACTTTCTAGCACCAGCAGTACTGCAATATGCCATTGTGGTTATAGTGGTGGTATTGTAACTTTCTGTGGTGTTAATAAAAAGGGAATATTCTTTCCTTGACATTTTAGCCTTTTATTTTATGTTCCCTCTGTTATTTTAAATGGGCTGCTTAATCAATGCCTAATTTGCCCCCTCTCCTGCCACCCCACTTTTTTTATTTTTTTGGGTGGAGGAATACAATAATAATGCTTGGCAGTGTTTGAGTCTAATCTGCTTTCCATTTATATGCTCTCCACTCTGAAATGTTTTTCTTTGAAGCATAGCCATGCGCACTCAGCAATGTGCAATCAGGCGCTTACTGTTGCCAAACTTGGAAACCTCATCAGATGATGACAAATTAATTTGGATTTTTCCCTTTTACCTCCAAGGATGACTGATAAACTTGCATCATATGTTACAATTATTTTCTTCCTGCTTCATCTCTTCTCTTTCTCCCCCCCCCTCTTTAATGCAGTGCATATAGAATTAAGTAATCCAGGGGGAGGCATAAGTCTGACAGCTGCTAGAGGCGCTTACGCGCTTCTCACTGTGAAAATCATAGTGAGAAGACACTGATATCCATAGGAAAGCATTGAGAAATGCTTTCCTATGGACTGATTAAATGCGCATTTGGCGGATGACATCGGAAGAGGGAGGAGAGTTCCCCAGCGCCGAGGGAGCCTGGCGTTGGAGAAAGGTAAGAATTAAACCCCTTCCTCCCCCTTCAGTCCGGCGGAAGTGGGACCCAGAGGGTGGGGGGGGCAAAGACCCTATAGAGCCAGGAAAACGAGTTTGTTTTCCTGGCACTACCTTTAAATAAGGAAATGTCTTTATCTTTGTACTCTGTGTGGGTTTTTTTTTTTCAAAATGATGCAATTTTAGCAAGTGCTAACAAACTGTTTGGCAATATTTTCTTGCACAGTAAGCATTGTGCTTGAGGAAAATTGTTTATTTCTGGCACTTGTGAATCCAAATAAGTAGCTGTCGTTCTAGTTTCTTCTCTTTGTTTTAGAAGAAAATTGGGTAGCATTGTGGGCTTTTCTTTTTAACTTTGACTTGTCACTTGTCTCTGCTATTTGAGGAACAGTAAATTCAACTATTTCAGACATGATTTCTTGTTGTATCTTTTTTCCCTCAGTTTCAACAAGTGACGAACAGTTTGCAAGAATAATACTTTTTCTCTTGATAGTTCCTTGTTTCAACCAGATGTCCAAATTCATGGTTTTTGGTTGGTAAAATAAACAACATTTCTCTAACCTGAAAAACAAATAAATCAGATTTCACTACCTGACTGTTTTTGACAAATCCCGGTCGCCAGGGCCGTCTATAATATGAATAGGACCCTGGGCAAATCATTTTCTTAGGCACCCTGACAGACATACTGACACGCACACACGCAGATACATACTGACACACAAATATATACTGGCAGACATATTGACACACGTTCAGACATACATACATACACACACACACACACACATACATACATACACTGACAGATATACAGACATATACTAGCAGAAACACTGAAATACAGACGTATTGACACATACACAGACAGACATACTGACACACATGATACATTTAGCCACCCTCCAGGTTCTTACCTTTTTCTGGAGGGTGGTTTCACTGGGGTCCAGTGGCAGGCTGAGACAGTTGGGAGTTATCTTCTGGAACTCCCCTCCTCCCTGCCTTCCTCCTCCCATGCGGCTCCGGTGGAAGGGACGTGACGCACAGCACTCACTTCCTCTCTGCCGGCTGCCGAACAGGAAGGGGCCGGTTGCGCTGTTTAAGCGCCACAGCGCTCAATCAGGCCCCTGTTGACACATGACCAGCAGGTGGCCTTTAGTGTATGGGCCACCCCGGGGGCCTCCTTAGTGTGCGGGGCGGCGCGGCTCTGTGCAGCTGCACCGCCTGGTCCAATGGCGGCGTAAATCTTGGGACCCACTGGGCAGGTGCTCTGGGGGCTCCCCAGGAGCAACTGGGCCAAGGCAGCTGCCCCGTCTGCCACATGTTAAATACGGCCCTGGCCAGGGTGACTCGAAACTTTGCCCTGGCACCTGGGATTTGCCAGCTCTTTAATGTGGCTGCCGAGGGAGCTTTGAAGGCAACCCCTGCTGAACAGCATGGAGCCGGGTGCCTCCTTGCTCCCGCGGGTGGCAGGCAGAGGCAGCATGGAGCCGCCCGCGGGAGCAATGAGGCAGCCGGCTGAGGCAGCATGGAGCCGGCCGTCCACAGGAGCCTGGAGCAAGGCAGTAAAATAAATCCTTTCTCCTGTGGCCAATATAGTGAGCTGAGCGTCTGCCAGAATGCTTCCACTCTCTATCACTGACGGCAGGCATGCACAACGATCGCAGTTGGGCGATCTCTGCTCTTTTCGACCTTCCGGAAACAGCTGGGAGCCACAGCCATCTTGGATGTGGCAATTCAAGGCGGAAACCCAAATTTGTTTTTGCGGAACACCAATAGGGAAATGCTGCATTAAGTTAAACAATTCTTATGCCAATGTGTTCCTTTATAATTCTGGAAGGTCACTAGTAATACCCAAGTTTGATCGATATTGGCAGTCTCAAACTGTTTTACATCCAATTTTTAAAAAATTTCCTCTGCAGAGGGGCCTTGAAAAAAAAATACCAGCCACAAAGGCCTGTGCATAGCCTTAGGGAATATACTCGTTGCTGCATAATCGTGAAGCATCTTTGAGTAAAATAACATGTTTACAACATGTGAAGCTTTATTTACCTTAATTTGAGCCGCAGCTGCTTGCATCCTGCAGCCTCATAACCATTCCTAAATAGAAATTTGCTCTGCAGATCTACCCCAGAAATATAAATTCCGCCCATCCCCCAGTTCCTGTGTTTGATTCAAGTAATCCCTCCAGTGTATATGTATAAATGTGAGTTGGAGCCACAGACCATGGGAAGACAGAGCAGAGAAAGCAGTTATAAAATGTGGTTGCATATAATGAGCGCTATTTTAATTAAAACAATCGTGTGTCACTTAAACCTTGTATGCGTTTAATGAAATGTATGGCTGTGAAAGCCTGAGCTAAGCTGAAGCAAAAAACCCAGAAAAACTTTTATCATCTTAACCTGACAAAGTGTGAATGAGAACCTCCAGGAAATTGTGTTTTTACACCTACAGATCTCACGACTCTCTGAATCAGCTTTACTGGTTTAAAGGAGATGGAAGTAAATTTATATCTCAGTCTAGAGAACACAAAGCCTTCATACAGTGATGCTTTTATTGAATTCTCGTCACTCACTAGGTTTCTTGTTTCTGTTCTCTGTCCCACATTTCTCATTGTATTCAAAGTTGAACATATTATGTATCTTTCTTCTTGTTACTCCCTGGAAAAAAAATATGAAGAATAATTTATGGTAAAAACTACTCCCTGTTTTTAATGCATTCTAGAAAAATATACATAAAAAATATAATCTACCTTTTTAGGTTTCCTGCATTGCACTATTTAGTGGGAGTGTGTCGGCCTGCATCTTCCTATATAAGACAGAATCATATACCATTCCGTTAACCCCCATTGTGCAGACCTTATTAGTAGTTTATCCACAAGATCAGTTCCATTTACCCTGTGGAATGAGTGGATCTTATCTGTAACCTGATAGCAGCCATACATCGATTGTGCTTTAATACAGTTGTGACAGAGCAAGATAAATAAGTAAATATAGTGCCCTCGGTGCAGATAAGTAGGGCCAGAAGTTCTTGAGAGGCCACAACAGCATAGACAAGTCATTCAATGACATACATAGTTTATATAAAGCATGGCATATATGAAAGTTGCACACAAAAAAAAAAGTAAATAAACATGCTAGGCAGTCCTGTCTAACATTAGTAACATGGGGCATAGGCAGGCTAGGCTTAACATAAAGCAGGCATGAGGTTCAGAGACACACATGGCTAGCTGAATTAAAAGATTGTATGCAAAGACAGAAGCCCTGAACTTGCTGAGGTAATGGGCTGCCTATAAGATTGAGTTGACAGAGTGCTTAAAATATGGAAGTATTCAAACTTTAAGAAAGTATACAATTAATAATAATATGTAACGAGTTGTGTTAAAGGAAAGACCGTCTCCCGCTAGCTAGTGGGACCCTTAAGGGGGTAGGTGCGTGAGGTAAGTACTGGACATTATGATTTTGAAAATTTAAGAGCCTGGTAGTGACTTCTAATCATTGCGGTGTTATGGTTTAGAGTGGGCCTGATGACCTTATTCAGTGTTGCTAGCAATCTCCGTGATATGCAGGTTTTCTGGTTTCAGGTGGGCAGGCCAGTTCTGTGAAGTGGCCCAGATTACTGTAGTGCATGGACTAGCGGGATTGCCAATGGTGCCCAATAACTCCTAGGCACCAAGGGGGGTAGGGAGGTAGAGAAATTTTGCATTTTATAATTTGCGCTTATAATCTGGCCGAGGCTGAGGAAGTTAACTAAAACTGAAAGACAGAACAGTGGAAAGGAAAGTAAATACAAAAAAAGAGAACATTTTTATAAAAAAAAACTATTGAAAGTTCTTCTTTTAAAAAGGTCTGTGTAACGTTTCTAGCTCCATCTGCTGCTTCTTCTCTGGGGCGCAATGACCCGATGTAGTTCTGGTTGGTTCAGCCGTTTTCTTTTGCTGAGCGAGGCACAAATCGGACTATTCTGGAGACGTCCCAAGAGCTGTTAGCTGAGTAGGCACCAGGTTTAGGTCTTATTAGGCAGATTGCCTGAAGAAAAGAATTAGAGTCCTCCAGCGATGATTCGGTGTACCACTCTATCCTTGCTGCCCAGGAGGGTGCGGGGTGCCCCATCTGTAGCTTTTCCTCCGCCTCTTCCCTCCCCCCTCCCCCCCATCCCACCTGCTCGAACACCAGACACTGAGACCTTTTGAATCGAGCGCCGCCAGTCTTGTTTGGCTCTGCACAGATCTGCTTGGAATGTCAGACCTATATGGGCTTTTGGCCTTGAGCACCTCCACCACCGCCATCTTATCCTGAAATGTCAGAAATCGTAGCAGGACGTCGCAGGAGGCTTCTGCCGGCACACTGTTGGATTTAGGAAGGCGGTGTGAGCCCTATACCAACTTAATTTTGAGCAACCGGGGGCGGGGAGGATATCCGTGAGAAGTGGGCGGATGAAGTGGGGCAATTCCACGTCTGTGATAGACCTGTATGCCTACACTAGACACATTCCCTCACATCTGACCATGTCCAGGATTTATTTTCCGACATTCTATGGTACTAATGTCTGTCCCCAGCGTACTTTTTTTATTTTTATTTTTTTGTTCTGCCAACAAAACTAAACATTGTGTAATCCGGATATACTATTGTAGAACCTATGTTTATGGACAAGTGTTTGAGATCCTACAGACTTACAAGTTGTTGTGGTACAGAGTATTATTAAAGGACCACTATAGTGCCAGGAAAACATACTCGTTTTCCTGGCACTATAGTGCTCTGAGGGTGCCCCCACCCTCAGGGACCCCCTCCTGCCGGGCTCTGGGGAGAGGAAGGGGTTAAACACTCGCCTTTCTCCAGCGCCAGGTGGGGAGCTCTCCTCCTCCTCTCCGCCTCTTCTCCTCCTCTTCGGCTGAATGCGCATGCGCGGCAGGAGCTGCTCGCACATTTAGCCAGTCTCATAGGAAAGCATTCATAATGCTTTCCTATGGACGCTTGCGTCTTCTCACAGTGAGAAGCACGCAAACTCCTCTAGCGGCTGTCAATGAGACAGCCACTAGAGGCTTTAGAGGCTGGATTAACCTATTTATAAACATAGCAGTTTCTCTGAAACTGCTATGTTTATAAAAAAAAAAAAAAAATGGGTTAATCCTAGAAGGACCAGGCACCCAAACCACTTCATTAAGCTGAAGTGGTCTGGGTGCCTAGAGTGGTCCTTTAAAGCATTTTAAAATACAAGCACACCCTCCTTTATGAACTTCTAGCATTTTATAGTTTATAGTTTATTACATGAAAACGAAGGCATCTGAAGTAAATGTTTCTTGCTGAGGATAATGTGTGTGACAACCAGCTGTAGATGCGATTTCTGCTTATAGCAAAAAATACTCATGTAACCACAAAGATTGTCTTCAATAATCATTTTAATCCTTAAGCCTGTCCAAAATGATTCCATTTTATATTCCTTTTTCACGTTTTCTTCACATTTTTTTTCTTCTTCTTAGAGGAGGCATAAAAAGGGTGGGTTTTGAAGAGGAGGGGTTGTGCCGACGCGGGATAAGTCCCAGACTTGGAATGCTTTTGAACTTGAGTGCAAAACACAAAGCACCAAATGGAGCATGTGTTGATGTACAGCTGAGCGCAAAGCTTCTATTCGATCCCAAAGCTGGTGTTGTGCTCACTGTTTAAAACATTCCTTTTCAGGGGAGAGGGCTCTTTCCTTTCATGCTTGGTGCTCGTCCATCATACATCCAATTTGTCTTCTTTTGAGAGTTTGATTTGGGGTGGGGAGAAGGGCTTGAGAGAGGCAAAGCTTTGCAGAATAATGTTGATGTGATGTCATCTGCTCTCACGAAAACATTGTTTCTGTAGCCAGTCAAGACCTCAGTTTCCAGTAGCAATGGCTATATATTGCCTGACAGAAATGGCTTATCCTTGTTCCTAATATTCACTCAGTTCATTGATTTGCTGTTCTACTGTATGGTACTTGATCCTAAATATGTTGCTTGTGCATGTAAATATGTATATTTACACGTGTGTGTGTGTGTAGCGTTTTTCAATTTTTTTACATTTATTTAAAGGGACACTATAGTCATCAGAACAACTACAGCTTAATGTAGTTGTTCTTGTGAGTATAATAGCTCCCTTCATGTAAACACTGCCTATTTAGAGAAAAGGCTGTTTTTACATCTCCAAGTAGCAACTCCTCAGATGGCCACTGGAGGGGCTTCCTGGCTCAGGGCTGCACAGTAAGCAGCACTGCTGTTCAGTGTCCCCACGCTCTGCATGGAGACGCTGAATTTACCTCTGAGGAGGTCCTGATTGGCGAAAATTGCATTTGGCCCCTCCCCGTGCCAATTTTAGCCAATCCTTTTCCTATGGGAATGCATTGGATTGGATGGACCCGCGCGACGCTGGAAGTGAGATGAGTTTTATATTTTTTATAGGAGGGCTAAGGGGAGGCAAGCCACCTGAATGGTGGGTTAAACACTTTAGTGTTAGGAATAGATGTTTGTGTTCCTGACCCTATAGTGATCCTATAAATATGGAAATCGCTTTTTTATATTCTTCAAGGCAGAGTCTTCTGTTTGAATAAAGTACTGAAGGGTATTTTAACACATTCAACAATATTCCAGCTTTACGTTCTACAGATGTCTTTTAAGGGATGTGTTTGTACTAAAATGCTCTTGAAATAAAACACTGTTTTGTTACATGTGACAGCTTCTCTCACTTGTCGAGCTTCCAAGTGTCCCTATTTTTGTCTAAATCCCCCTGTACCTATTTTCTAGGAGTTCCATATTGTTGGTGTGTCTGTATAACAGAGCTACCCAGCAATATTCACGGTAATGTGTCTTTTTACAGGGTTACCTTTACTACTTAAAGTGTTGTGTTTTTTTATTTTTATGGGGATTCCCCAATAATTCGTTTAAAACCAAGTTGAAACTGTACCTAAATTGGCCCTGCTAATCAAACCTGGCAAATTTCTCTGTTCCCTAGTGGGTGGAGATTTTCCAAACGTTGTATACAAATCTTGTGGTTTACAGAACACATTATGTATGATTCTAATAATGACTTGCTAATTGAAGGTGGTATGGCTGTCTGTTTAAACTTGTCATTTGAAGGTGGAACATTGTAAATTATAAAGCTTAACTGTGCACAACATTCTCTTAGGTATGGTAATCCCTATATAAGACAAACATACTCTCCCAAGAGTTTCTGTAGATCTTTTACCTCTGTCGATGCAATGTTAACCCTTACAAATCCTTTTTTCAATTTTTTTTGTTTTAACATTCAGTGAATGATCTAAATGTTGTTACTCTGATGTTCGAAGTGCCAGATAGTAGAGATCGACCGATATAGATTTCTTTAGAGCCGATACCAATAATCGGTGAGCTTTTAGGCCGATAGCCTGTACATTTACCATTTTGAAAAAAAAAAAAAACATTTCTACACAAATGTAAGGTTTATGGAACATGTTTTTTTTTTTTTTTCTGCAAATCTTTCTTTTTATTAAGTGGTAAATACACACAATATACATGCCAGTTAGAATTCTTTTTTTTTTTGTTTCCAAGAATATTTAGTGTTCCTCTCCCTTCCCTGTCCCTTCGTGTACCTCTCCCCTCTCTTTGTGTACTTCTCCCTTTACCTCCCCTACCTGTCTCTTAGTGGTCTCCTGCCCTCTCTCCCTCCATGTCCTTTAGTGTGCTTGTGTGTCCAAAGAGACAATGTGGCTGTAGTGTGAGGGCAATATTATGCAATATTCCTGCTCTTCCCTCCAGACACAAACCCATACAAGACCATAATACAACCATACAGAAGTAGAAATGTAATGCTGCTTTTAGTCGGCTAATACTTATGAACAAGGTCAACATTTTAATCCCGTAAAGACTTTTATTAAGCAGCATTACTTTTTTTTGGATTTACAAGCCCTCTAGTGCAAACCCACTTCTTAGCACGCAACTGAGTGATTGGGGTCTAATGTATTTTTGAGAGAAACATAGACTGTGCGTGGAATAAAGTCATATTCAGAAATGTTATTCTCTTACAACATGCTTTTATTTTATCTGTAACTTCATTATTTGATAATTTGTTAAAGTCCAACCATTTGTTTTGTGTTTCTTTCCATTAAATAATGTTCTGTCTGCATCTATTGCAATGAAAATCCATTTTAAATTTTACTTTCCAGAATACCAAACTTATCTGATTCTGGTGGTGTTTTTTTTTTTTTTCTCAATTTTTTTTTGTTCCCCTCCCTGACTGCTTGTTAGTAAAGGGGTTAAGTAATTTTATGGTTGGTTATTCACTGTAAGACCTACAACCATATAATGCTCATCAGAAGAAGTTGTAGCATACAGAATATTTTTATATAATCTCTTAATTTTTTTCTTCTTGCATCTAGATACATGTATTGGACTGATTGGGGAGAGATGCCAAAGATTGAACGTGCTGGTATGGATGGATCCTTGAGATCTGTCATTATAGACAGTGACATTTACTGGCCTAATGGCCTGACGTTGGATTACGAGGAGCAAACACTTTACTGGGCAGATGCAAAACTTAGCTTCATTCACAAGTGTAACCTGGATGGAACAAATAGGTAAGTGAAACAGATGTTTTCTTCTTGATTGTGAATGTTTGACTTTAATATCTGGTGCAAATGTGTGATGCTATATCGTCTGCATTGTATATAACCCTACTGTACTAATTCCTGCAACTTGCTGAATTCACATGACTAATAGTTGTGGGAGTTCTGCAAGCGAAAGGTCGTTGTATGTGCTATTAAATTTAGTATATGTAAAAGTTATGTGCGGTGATAACATGTTGTCATGTGTATAAAGTTAGAATTTAAAGTCAGAATTTCGTAATATCGCTTTGTATTTTATAGCTGTCTATATTTCTTGAAATCAGGACAGGTTTTTGGGACAATCTAAGCACTGATAGATATATATATATATATATATATATATATACACACACACACACACACACAGTGTCTATTGGCAATATTTGAGAGCACTTTAACAAAAATCAGGGCTCTCCATAGCACCAATAGATTGCCCCTTCCTAATCCACATTGATGATGCTAACTTCACACTTCCATAATTTTGTTTTAATCTTGTCCAACTTGGAATGCAGTGATGGGCTGAACTCTCTGGGGGAAGGTTAGCTCAATGCTCACTCAATCATGATATACATATCGTATTGAAACTGCGATATGAATGCAAAATGTATATATTGTGTGTTTTTGTTCCCCCTTCATTTCTTCAAATATCTATCATTTTGAAGACTAGCTGAAAGATGCTCATTTTCAGAATAGACTGATTTATTGCTGCCTGTGTGGCATGGTTGTGATAGAATTCTACTTTGGCACTGTCATTGGACATAAAGTTCCAGGCACATGGTCAAAATGGGTGTGCATTTGGAAATGTATTTGAAAGAATTTGTCTATTCTCTAACTGTAAGCAAATGGATATTAATAATTTGTCATTTGTGAGTGCATTTACAGGGCTGATACATTCTGGGGTATCTGTAACAAAGGTATTGAAGTAGCTTACAAAATGTAGTCTAGCTTTTGATCCTGTTAGGATAGGTTGAATATAGAACCACTTTGAAAAATAACCTGACTCCGATCTGCATTGACCACATACCTACTGTCCTGTTTCTTATTCCCTGGAAGGCTCACTGTTTGTGTAAACAGTTGTCAGCTTGCTTGAACTGCTTTTGCACGTTTGACAATTGATTTGCCCACTGAGAATCTTTTTTTTTTTTTAAACAAGGTTAACATGGACCTCCAAGAAACATCTAGAAGCACGTCTAATACTCTTCTTATTCTTTATCATGTGGGGGTTTTTTTTGTCGTCTCCCCCTTTAAAATAAACAGGTACATCCCATTCCTCTATTTCCCCTTTTCAAATTTTTCAAAGCCTAGTACAGTTCTTCTCCCCCTCCCTTCCTCCCTCCTTGCTGAAGGTCACAAATCTGATGTGTGCTTCAAAGTGGTCTGAACAGTAGGCTTTGAAACATAGAGAAGAAGTGGTGCTGGCTTTATATGTGTAACTGTTTACTTTCTCTTGACTTAAGTAAAAATTGGCTTTATTAGTTGCAGAAGTTTTAAGAAAATATAAATGAATACACTTTGCATCAAATGGCAGGTAGTGTTAGTTCATGGGCCATTAGCATTCTACTCATTTCACTTTGCATATTAGTCAATCATATGTCTGCACTAGAATTATATTATCACATGACTGGATAGAAAAGAGGCATGATCTATACCGCTCTATTGTTTGTGTTTAAGCACAGAAATAAGAAAAACACCTTTCCTATGCTTTCGAAAGGGAGCCCAACCACCTAGACAGACACCCACAGTGGCACACACTCATTGATTTGAGAGACACACACACTTTCTTTACTCTCCCTCTGCCTGCCGGACACCTTCACTCTCCCTCGACTGGCCACCTAGATTTGTCGAGCCCTGGCTTAGTGTCCCTTATTAAAAATTCACTGCAGAGAAGATTTTTAAAGTGGTTAAAAATGAAAAGGATCCCACAAAATGTAGACAAAGTAACCCCTATGGATGCCTAAACATCTACCTCGTTCGTTCTCTGTCAAAATATTTTATTAAACCGTTGACAAGTTTGTAAGCTTTTTTTTTTTTTTTTGGAGGGAAATCTTTCCACCAATCCCTGTAGTGCTAAGGCCAGCTTTCTGTGTTCTTTGCAAAGTACTTTGAATAATTATGGATGTTTCTAGATTCTTGCCAAATTCTTATTTTTTTTTTTTTTTTCTTAAACATTTATATATTTTACACAGTGATGGAACATGCATCTATCCTGCACACAGTGAATTTATGATATGCAGTTAACTTGGCAATTGTGGACACCCTCAGATGTAACAAAAAAGAAATAAGCTATAGTTTGATAGAAACTGGTGACAAATATTACCTCTTGAAATAAGGAGTACGTTATACAGTGTCATGAATTGTATAGTAAGGAAAAACCAGGAGTAGTCTGTGCTTTATTTTTAGCCTGCTAACAATTTCTATTTTTAATTCATTCCCCCACCTCCAGGGGTTGGTGAACCCAAATTTGTTTTATTTGTAAGTACCAAATGGTTCCAGCTGTGAGGTTTCTCTCCAGAGCTGATCCTTGCAGCCAAACTTGTTTACTTTAGCCCTGCTGCTCACCTCTCCAGGGTCTGTTTTTCATTGCTCCCTGTGTCTGATTACACTTGTGATAATCTTACCAGCTACAGGCAGGAAATACTAATGGACAGCAGAAGTAGTTTTTTTGTGATTTGCCATAAAGTCCCCTTTGTTTTCCTGCTTTTGCAAGCTGATTACATAAAGAGGTCCTTGTGACTCGATTCTATTGAGTAGACCGCTTTTTCCTCTTTTTGTCGAAAGAGCGTGGATTGCATATGTAATGTTCCAACAGAGTGTATGGTATACAAATAGCATTTTATTTTGTTATTCTGGGCACCAAAACTTAGACAAAAACCCCAGCTTGTATATAATTGCCTTTGTGGAAATAGCCCTGGCTTATTGAGAACCTGAGTGTATGTAAATTTTTCTTTTCACTGTGTTAAGCCCCCATCCTTATTGAACTTGTGCCTGAGTAACAGAATGTTGCATTCTATATTCAAAGTAACAATGCTGCTGTTTTAATCTGGAAAACTAATAAGCTATGTCATGCAGGTTGGAGCATGTGTTTATGTGGATATATAGTCTCTATGGAAGACCAAAGATTTCAGCATGGGAAAGGTTACCCTTTCAGATCAGTGGAAAGGTATACAAATTACTGGTTAGTGGAAAACATGGATGCTCCTCTAAAATGTTGAAGGAAAGAAAATTTATGGCAAAGGAAAGAGCTGGGGGGGAAAAAGTGAAAACGATTAAGGATGGTTTGAGAAAAGGTGCTACTGCATTCCTCAGAATTTAATCTTTTAACCCATTAAGGACCTGATGCTGGACAAAGCAAAAGACCAGATTGTTATAGCATTGGCTTTAACTGGTCCCTAAATTATTTAGGTAGTCCAAAGATTGTGACCAAAATGAGTACACAGATTTAAGGACTGGTAAATGAAGTGTGTTAATTTATCAATCTGTACTTTATTAGCATTGGAACTTGGAAGGTGTTGCCAATTGGGGCCAGTATGCACCTTTGATTTTCTACCATAACTACACCATAACTGTTGGCCAAGTTGTCCTTTAGTGAATAGAATAGGCATGCTTTAACTGAAAATTTTAATCCAACGTGACCATTCCAGCTCTGTTATCTTGCCCCTAGTAATCTCACTATTAATGCTGAATTGTTATTGGTGATGTAGAAATGTAATCTCATCATGATTAATTCATATTAAGCAGGTAGAGTAAGCCTGTTTTTTTTTTTTTTGTTTTTGTTTTTTTTTCAATTTTATATCAAGCAATCTGATAAGAAATCAAGAAATTAGAATTGTAGAAAATCTTTGGACGCAAAGGGCGCATGTCCTGTACATGCTGGACTTTTCAGTTAAATCTTTCTCCGAGAGTAACATTGAATCCAGTGCATATCTGAGAAGCCTTAACACCGCTCAGTAGCTTCTCAATGTGTGAAGTCACTGAATTTTTTTAATTTTTTTTATTTTTTTTTTAAGTTTTAATAAGGAAGTGCTTCTAGTGGCAGCCAGTCTGACTACCACTAGAGTAGGAGTGCACAATGTTTTTAGAGAGATGAGACTGAAATTTTACTGCCGGCCACTGTCGTATGATGCCAGTGAGATAGATGGTTGTGCTCTTGTTCTGCACACGTACTTTTGTATTCACACACACGGACACACATACAGACCCACACACAGCGACACACAGACACATAAACTGACCCAATATACACAGTAATTCTTCAAGCATTTAAATAAGGGCTTTAGTAAACAGTGAATTGTGCTCAAGACAACTCGACTGTCTACTTGGTTCTCCTCAACTCTCTGTTTAATGAATAGACTCCATGATGTGATGCTTAGAGAGGCACTAATAATTCCTATCTTCTTTATACGAGATCCTTGCTCATCTCCTCTAATGGCAGTATTGTTTTATAGTGGTTTAATTTTATTTTGAACAAATCGGTCCCTCTGTCGTAATACAACTACCTGTAACCTATACTTTCTATTGGATGTCAGTCAGGCAAAAAAATCCAGTAGGCTTTTTGTGCCGTAAACAATCTCACTTCTCCATGTATTGCCGACTTGTGTCTGTATTCTGGTACCTGTCGGTGCAATGTGTTCTGGCTATAAATGGCCCAGATGATTTGTGTGGACTACACAGGGATATTGCTCTGACATTGCATGCCCATTCTCCCATAACTGCACGAGAAGGAGCTTCTCAGGAATTCTGAGTGGACCTTGAGAAGCTCATTTTTGTTTTGTCATGTAGTGTAGACTTCTCCAGTGAACAGCGCATGTATTAATCATGAGGCAGCAGCTCTCCGATGCCATTAAGGCACCAACACTACTGGTTGGCCCTGTGGTGCCCCATTAGGCCAGCACCAAGTGACAACATCCCTCTTCAGTGCTCCTCTGTGGACAAGTGTTCATGCATTCATGGACCAGAGTTTGCGTATCCCTACACTAGAGGCATTTGCTATTACAAATGTAAACATTGCAGTTTTCCAAAATGGCAACTTTTAAGTTTGTGTGGCAAAAGGAACAGCATCTGTGCACCAAATTTGCTACGTTTTGTTGCTTAAACTTTCTCCTTTTTTAAGGCATTTCATATGACCTGATGTGCATCTTTGCAATATTCTGTGTGTCTTGTGAATAACTGAATGTAATCATGGCTAGTTTTATTGGAATGGTGTATTGTATGTTTAATGAATCTGTATGATCATATGTTTCTCCCTTCACAGGAGAATGGTGATAAAAGGTTCTCTTCCTCATCCCTTTGCTTTGACATTATTTGGTGACACCATTTACTGGACAGACTGGACAACTCACTCTATTTTGGCCTGCAACAAGAACACAGGGGAGGATCGACGAGAGGTGGACACAAACATCTACTCCCCTATGGACATCCATGTTTTTAGCCAGCAGCGACAGCCAAATGGTCAGTATTGTTTGTATTGTGTATGTTGTGAAATTGTTAAAGGAACATGTAAACCACAAAAAGCACTTCAGCTTGCAGGTGTCTGTCATATTTTTGCCAATTTTTAAAAGTACTACCTTTTATAGGTGGGGACAGAAACTCCTCCTATACTATCACTAAAGCAGTTTTTCTTCCTCTTTTGTTGGCTCCACAGAACTAACAGAAGTGGTAGGTGTTGAATGCTAGTCTGCACCTGCTTTCCCCCTTCTTAATGAGATGTATTACAACTTATTCGAAAGCTTAGGAACACGACAATCTCATACGCGTGGTTCCAGCACAGATGCTTCTAAATGAGAAGCCTCTGATATATTCCCTGGCATAGTTGTATTCACCTCTGTCGTAGTAAGGGGAGAGGGAGGGCTTGCAAAGGCTGCAGACAGACTTTTTTTTTTTTTTATATATATATATATATATATATATATATATATATATATATATATATATATATATATATATATATATATACACATATATCCCATAAAAATACATGCATGTTTTCTTTGGGAATATATCTATTAAATTGCTCAATAGAAATTTCACTGGAGTTCTCCTATAACTGCAAGGTTTCTGTTCTGGTATTGCATAATTTGTGAAGCCAATGATAATGGACAGACAAGTCACAGGCTGTACTATAAAATCTCACTATTTGCATTATGCACAAGCTACAAGAAGATATGTATAATTTGTTTGTACCCTGAAAATGACATTGAACTACACTATAGTCACCCAGACCTCTCAATGAAGTGGTCCTATGCAGTGACCAATGTAATACATTGCAGTTACATTTCAGGGTTAAGTTCACTTTTAGTGGCTGTCATTACAACAGGCACTAGAGGTGTTTCTGCTATATTGACTTAGTAAGACTTGGCCAGGTGACACAGAAGCATGATTTAGTGGTTTTCTATTTTCTATGGGGAAGTTTGAATGTTCATGCCATGCATGCATTTTGGCTTTCAAATGCTGCTCTATATGGAGCTTTGCATTGGACCATCATCGAGGAGGTGAAGAAACCAGCAGCTGGAGCCTCAGCACTGAAAAGTTAAGCAAAACTTTGTATTTTTTTAAATCTTTATTGCAAAAGGGGGGAGTATCCTTAATATTAGTAGGGACACTGTATTGTTTTGGGAATACATGTCTGAATAAAGGAAGATATGGCAAGTTTTGCTAATGTATGCATTATGAAAACTATTGCCAGCTGTATATAGATTTCTTTGTGTATATACTTGGAGATAAAGTAAACCTAATTTTATATTCTCTGCCATCTCATCTCCATTTTGTTTCTGTTCAATTTGACTTTGAAACATTGTACTAAATGCATTTTTTTTTTTTTTTTTTTAAATCCCCCTCTTCCAGCCACCAATCCTTGTGCAACCCAAAATGGCGGCTGTTCTCACTTGTGTCTCTTGTCTCCGGTGAAACCATTCTACCAGTGCGCTTGTCCAACGGGGGTCAGGCTTTTGGAGGATGGGAAGACATGCATGCAAGGTGAGTTGCTCATGGATAGATTAAGCCTAACTTTAAAAAAAAAAATTTAAAAAAATTATCTTCCAAATATACTGCTGTACGATATTCTCACGTTACAATGCAAACGTCATACAATCTATTGCTTATACCGCAGCTATGTGGGTCAATGCAGTCTTAAAGCGACACTGTCATGCCGAACTTAACTGTCCCCAATTGGTTCCTCTTCTCTCCCTCTCACAGGATCTGTTCTTCATTTCTTCCTGTCTGCTATAGTTTTCTTTAAAACTTAAGAAAAAGTAGGGACTATTTCTCTTCTGGATGTTTCCTACGCGGTGACCAGCGGAGGAGCAATGTGTGCTTCGTTTTCCGGTGGTCACAGCAATTTTTCCACAATCCTTACCTTTCCTCCCTGTTCCCGCGATGCTTCCTGTTACTTAGACAGGACGCCGGCAAAACTGCCGAATTGCGTTGTAACAGTTTCTCCATTCGTGTTAGAACGCAATTCGGGACTCTGTTCGTATCGGAATTTCATTCAAATGAATGAAACTCTGATCCTATTCATTGCCGCGGCTGCATCTTGCAGCCACTTAGTAGATAACTCCCTAATTCCCACGGTATCAGGGAGTTATCTACTAAAAGGCTGAAAGACCTAAATTGGTCTTTCAGCCACATTTACTAATGCTAAGTAAAGATTACTTAGTATTGGTAAATGATCTGCCCCTACTCGCTATTCCGCTAGATGGGACATGTCTAGTAAACAGTGAGCAGCCAGTGGCAGTGAGCAAACTACTGTCCTCCCCTCTCGGCCCCCACCCCTGCATGGGGGGTGGGGACCTACTGTCCTCCCCTCTCGCCGCCTCCCTTGAGTTGGGTGTGTGGGGGCCATAAATTACAATGGGGGGGGACCTACTGTTCTCCCCCCGGCCCCCACCCCTGCGCGGTGGGTGGTGGCCATAAATTACAATGGGGGGAAGAGGGGGTGACTTACTGTCCTCCCCACCCTTGAGCGGTGGGTGGGGGCCATAAAGATAATGGGGGGTGGGGGGAGGGGGCTATAAATTACAGTGGGGGGAACCTACTGACACTGGCCCCCACCACTGGGCGGCGGGTGGGGGCCCTAAGACAACACCCCCCTCCCCCATCAAAGGTGACTAGGGGTCCCCAAAAAAATAGGTAATATTGGGGGGCTTAGGGGCATTTGGGGGTGACTAGGGGGTCAGTTAGATGTAGTGAAGGCGGGTTAAAAAAAACAAAAAACGGGATTCGGCCATGACAGTGCCGCTTTAAAGTGCCAAGGATAATGTGCCAATGATGGTCATTTAAAAAAAAAAAAAAAATAACTTGCATTTCTGTAGGTGCTTATTTTCCTTAGCCCATGCAACTATTCTCTTGGAATTAGTTTCCAGCTGATTGTGATCCATTTTTGCTCTTCTAATGCTTGTTGAATTGACACGGTCAGTATAGTGTTGGACTCTATTCATTGTAGTCCCTTTCTTCTTATTAAGGGAACATAAAAAAATTGTGCTGGATAGATAAAAGGTGTTAATGCTATTAATTGAATATATCCTATTTGTATTGTAAGAGAGCTATGTAAACCGTCTTTCAGAGCTGCTGTTAATGTGGCAGGTCTTAAATAATGTTTCGATTCATTCTTGCACTAGATGCCCAGAATGTCCTTTTAATCTGTGGCATGCCCAACTGTCTGTTTAGCTGATTCATTATGTTCTTTTTGAAGCTTGACTGGAATTTGAAAACATTGCTAGGAGTTATGGCCTATCAATCTGTGCAGTTTGGGCTCTGCTGGTCTCCTGGACACTTGGTGGGGGGAGGGTGATCAATGTAAACAAACTGACCTTATGACCACAACATCCTATTATTTGTAAAGTAACTGGATAGCCTTTTTCTAAACGGATGGGTAATCATTGGCTTTCTCAGAATACTTTCAGACTTTATTTTTATTTTTTTTCTTTGTTCAGCCAAGAAAAAGTATCACAAATATTCAGGTTTTTCATGATTTTGAGGTATAAATGAAACAGTGGTGAATCCAAGTCATTTTGCCATTTGGTTGTAAATATCACCTGTTATTGTTTAACAAATTCAGCTTAAAAAAAATAAAAACACATGGCCAGCAAAAGATTTTCAATTTTTTTTCCTATCTGTGTAAAAGCTTGTCAGCAGTTAACATTAACCCCTTTGAGTACTGGAGAAGTTTGTGTGCCCATGTGGTTTATGATTGGATTGTGTACTCCCTGGCTAATCTGTTAGTGAGGGTTGAGGGCCTCCGGTGTTATTGCGACATGTCACCAGTGTGCAGTCGATAATAATCACCCCACAGGTGTGCATGACTGACTATTGTCTGGTCTTTCTCACGCAATCTAAAGCTGCCTCTGCTGTTAGCCAGGGAGACATAAACACTGCCAGTTTTTAAAGAGTGGTATTCTGTTTGTATAAGGATGTCTTTGCTATCCCTGTCCCAATACCATTTCTCCTACATCGTGTCCAGAAACCCCTACTTTCTACACCTCCTGCTTTTTGTGGGATTTTGTGTGTCTGCCATTGGAATGTTGGGCCTGCCTTTAAATCAACATTGAAGAATTCTCTGGATTGAAACTTTTGTTTATGTAAAGGGGGAGGGGGTTTGCTGTTAGTGGTGCCTAAAACTAATCATTCTCAGACAAAAATATTAACTGTCACTAGATCCTTCTGCTCCCAAAAAGCATACATGCTACACATTAGTCACAAATATAAATATATATTTATTTATTGTTCCACATGTTGCTCTTTAGTTATTTTGTAAAGAGCTAAGGAGCCTGATATAATGTGGTAGATATGAGTGCTCAATACAAGGTTATTTGCATATGTGTAATAAATGAGATCATGAAATAAAATCTGCATAATGGCTGCTTGTAATAAAAAATAAAAAAACAAAACGTCACTGCTATAGTATAGTTTAATTTTTTTTTATTTTTTTTGGTCAAGTATTTGTTGTATTTTAGTGAAGCCAGTGTTAAAAAAACATGAATTTGTAAACATTTTCTGCATACTATTTTGCCTTGCATCTTTTACAACTCATTTTGAAACATTTGCTGAATAAACCCCTAAGCGATTCATATTTAACCCAAGACACAAGATTTAGACACAAGATAATTATCCTTCCCCACATCTCATTTTATCTTTCAATGTCTTTTTAAGCTTGTTTGGAAAACAAATTAGTTTACCTTTCTCACTATATGTAGTAGCTTAATAAATATTTAAAAATTTTACATCTCAGGTGCTACGGAATTATTACTTCTTGCCAGACGGACAGACCTCAGACGTATATCACTAGACACCCCGGATTTCACGGACATTGTTTTACCCTTGGAGGATATTCGTCACGCCATTGCGATTGACTATGACCCAGTTGAAGGATATATTTACTGGACCGATGATGATGTTCGTGCCATCCGCCGCACTCAGATTGATGGTTCTTCAAGTCAGTTTGTAGTTGTCTCTCAGGTGTCTCATCCAGATGGCATTGCTGTGGACTGGGTGGCCCGAAACTTGTACTGGACAGACACAGGAACAGACCGAATTGAAGTAACACGGCTGAATGGAACTATGCGAAAGATTCTCATATCGGAAGACCTTGATGAACCAAGAGCTATTGTACTTGATCCTATGAATGGGTGGGTATTGCTGTGTATGTGTTACGCAGCATAAACTAGTGAAGTGGATTTTTTTTGATTTTTTTTTGTGTGTGTGTGGTTTTTTTTGGTGCAGCTATGAACGTGTGGGTATTGCTGTGTATGTCTTATAGCATGACTAGTAAATTAGAAAAACTTTTGTACAGCTCTCTGAAGTTACTAGTGGTCATGTTACACTGGTATGGGTGCTGTAGGCATCCACATATTCGGTGCAAGGTTATATTAGTTATGTTTATTATTTTTACTAAAGTTCTTTAGTGTTTTAATTGCTTTTCTCCATTATCTGCCTCTTGCTTGTAAGGTTCCAATTTTACTCCCAAAAATATAGTTTTGGGGAGTTTTCATCTGTATCATCATCAGTGATAACGTGTAAAAAAAAATAAATAAAAAGATTTAGAGAAATTGAGAAATTTGAGGTAAAAAGTGTTAAAGCCATTTTGCCAAAGCTAAATGGAAGAATATTAATTTACATTCCCTGCCCTCTTTTCTTATTTACAGTTACATGTACTGGACCGACTGGGGGGAGTTACCAAAAATTGAGCGGGCTGCAATGGATGGTTCTGACAGGGTTGTTTTAGTGAACACTTCACTTGGATGGCCCAATGGACTTGCCCTGGATTATGAAGAAGGAAAGATCTACTGGGGTGATGCCAAGACTGACAAAATAGAGGTGGGTTACTGATTGACTCTGTTAAGATCAATTTGTGATTGGCTGAAATTATCAACTGAGCTTTTGCATAATTTTTTATAAACTTGCATAACAACATTTTAAATGTCAGAATACTTTAAAAAAATATATATATATGTTCTATTTATATGGAAAATTTCTTGGCAAAATTTGTTCTTTGAAGCCGTTGATTATTGTAAGAGCAACCTAAAAGGCCAGACTTGACTAATCTTTGATAATTACGTCCGCCTGCCGGCCACGAGTATGTCTCATAAAAATAAAAAATAAAATATATAATTTAATATTTTATTATACTTTTTATTTTATTTTATTTTTTATTCCTCTTTCCTACGCCCAACCATTTCCTTTCTGGGTTCTCTGCCAGCTCCTAAGTCGGAGATAAGCTGATGATGGTGGTTAATGGAACCCAGTGGGAGGTTTCTGAAGGATTAAATTGTATTTTTTTTTTTTTTTTCATGGTTTTATCTGGCTGCCTGCAGAAAAGGCAGGCTGTCTTTACAGCTTTGACAATCTCACTGCACTTTCTGTGAAAAATATTGCACCTGTCATTGTACTGTAGTAACTTTTGGGGAGTGCACTCATTATAAACCACACATAGAGGTGCATTCTTAACCCCTTATTTTACAATTAATTATCCATGTGAACCCAAAAATGATATTAATGAATAAAATGGAAAAATAACTTCTGTGTAGTGTTAATATTTTTTTTTTATATATATCCGCATAGCAGTTTTACTTTATTTTTTTAATTATTTTTTTTTTAAACCTGCCAAGGCTGTCACTGATGGTTATTGGTTGACAGTAGCATTCTAGGAATGATAACATTTGTATTTTTATCCAGTTCTTTTAGCCCTGTTGCCATTGTTAATATATGGGAACTAACTTATAAGTGTAGGAACAAAAGAAGATCTAGAGCTGGATGTTCCAGCAATGATGACATTTGCATTTTTATCCACAGTGGTTGTGGTGCTAAGGAAACTAAGGTGCTTAGACAAGTATCTTATTTAGGGTCTATTGCATGATATCTAAAACCAGTAAAAACTCAAAAGGTATAAACCACACACGTAAATTCAGGTTGCATGCTCTAACTCGAGAGCACTGTACTCGAGTGTAAGTGCAAATGATTGGTGCTATTTAAACTTGGCATGCCTGTTGCATTTTGCATAAATGGTGATGGTTGGAGATTGGGTGTGCTTGCATTCATTCAGCAAGGTGGCAATCTACCACCGTGTGTTCCTCCTCAGAGCTCTGTGTATGTATTTTAGTAATATGCATTTGATTAAAACATGTATACATAGTCTGCAAAACTGTGTGTACGAATTTTGCAGACTTATACTCACCATGGATTCCCTACTGCTTATTAATTTTACTCGTATGGTGGAAGCCTATCTGCACTAACTGCTTCAGAAGCAGGATTAAAGGGACACTATAGTCACGAGAACAACCGCTTAATGTAGTTGTTCTGGTGTGTAAAGTATATCCATGCAGGCTTTGTAATGTAAGCACTGCCTTTTCTCTGAAAATGCAGTGTTTACATTACTGCCCAGTAACACCTCTAGTGGCAGTCACTCAGATGGCCACTAGAGGTGCTTCCTGGGTCAGTGCTGCACAGTGTAAAGCACTGATGTTCAGCGTCTCTCCGCTCTGCAAGCAGACATTCCTCATAGAGATGCATTAATTCAGTGCATCTCTACGAGTAGATTCTTTCTGGCGCAGCACTGCATTATGCCGCGCATGTGCTATAGCCTCCGAATTACCAATGGGAAAGCACTGGCTTGGAAGAAGGCAGATTGACACTTTTATTAATTGACCTTGTTACACCCCCTCTCCCCCAGCTTTTAATCAGACAACCATTCCTGTTACATCCTAATTTGTCAACTCTGTGAAAGCTGGACTTAGAGGGACACTATATTCACCAGAACTACAGCTTATTGCATTTGTTCTGGTGAGTAGAATCATTACCTTCAGGCCTTTTGCTGTAAACACTGTCTTTTCAGAGAAAATGCAGTGTTTACATTACAGCCTAGTGATAACTCCACTGGCCATTCCTTAGATGGCTGTTAGAGATCCTTCCTTGGGCAGTGCTCCAATTGTCTCCACCCTCTACATGCAGACACTGAACTTTCCTCATATGCATTGATTCAATTCATTTCTATGAGGAGATTGGCCAGGGCTGTGTTTGACTTGTGCTGGCTTTGCCCTTGATCTGCCTCTTTGACAGTCTCGTGCAATCTTATGGGAAGCACTGTGATTGGTTCAGACCACCACTTCTGATGACGTCAGCAGGCAGTTTTACATGCAGACAGGGACAGAGCCAGCAGCTGCAGACTTGAATACAAATACGTTTTTACTATATTTGGGGACGCCAGACATGGTCAGGGGGGCTAAAAGGTGGTTTTAAAATTATAGGGTCAGGAATAAATGTTTGTGTTCCTGACCCTATAGTGTTCCTTTAAGAGCCAGACATTGGATAGTCTTTGAATGGACAGCCACAGAATGTGTGGGCTGGATAAGATGGGAAGGGCAGCTGCCGATAAGATATCTTCAGCTTTTGCATGTTGTGTTTGGTACATAACTATTGAAATACAAAGCTGCAATTGGGTTCTTTCATAGAAACCACAGATACTGTTTGAGCTACGTAAGAAAAACACTCGGTCATTAATTTTATTCAGGATTTTAATGACTGAAGCTAATTATACCCATGCATGCGACAGGTAGCTGCATAATCTGTTTTATGGAATGCTGTGCGAGCTTGTGGTGATGCTTCGTTTAGTTCAGCTTTGCTTTTACCATGAATAAGAAATACTGCAGATTACGAGTGATGATAAATTAAGAACATATGCTTCATTAATTGAACTAAACACTAATAACATTGGAACCTAAGATGTGGTTACTCCAATGTCCTTACTTAATAACCTTCTTTTAAATGTAAATGGGATAGTATATAATTATATTTTGTTTTCACCTCATGCTAATTGTATACAAACGCAAAGCCTACAGCTTTCCAAATTGTGATTATTTTGCCCATTTTAAGAAAAATTTAACTGCCAGCATAATATTCTCACAAAATAATGCAGGCTGAAAAAGATTTTCCCATCAAGTTCAGTATATTTCACATATCTGTTTTACTGCTTCTGTTCCAAAAGAAGGTGATAAAATCCAATTTGAAGCAATTGCAATTTTTTAAAATGCAGAAAGACTATTTTCTGGTATTAAAGCAATATAACTTTCTTTCTCAAACCTTTTGAGTGTCTTGAAATGGCAACCCGTTATTTTAGCAGCCTTTAGCGTAGGAAGCTCAGTTTTGCATTCTGCTTGTTTTTACTCTGCCCATTCCTGCTTGAAGACTGGCAACTGTGGTGGATGTGGTTTAAGCCACATGTTTCCTGTTGTAGACTTTCCCCTTTCTGCGGTTTGTTAGTGTTTAGATTTGACCCAGAATGTGAAACTCCACACCATAGAGTGGTTTCAAGAGTGAAAACCACAGGAGATTTCTATCACTGCTGAGCAGGCAGATAAAGGAGGCGAGAAATGGGGTCTGTATTACATTCATATATAAAAGTAGAATATTCAGATCAAAGAGGACAACTCTTGAGAGGACCTACTTGGATTTCATCTCTCAATTGTCAGTGTTTCTTTGTTTTGCAAAACATGTTCTGTCCTTTTTATGTGGTAGTCTAAATCCGTTAGTGAATAACAGTTAAGCACTATTTGCATATTCAATTCAGCTTGTATAACAGTATGTTAAAGAACACTCCAAGTACCACAACCACTACAGCTCTTTGTAATGCTTATACTGCTGGCCTCTTGTCCCTTCCCCTCCTGCCCCCCACATTTTTACAAAGTCAATCTTTTTGACTATAAAAAGGTTTGATTTATAACTATGGGTCCACCAGGTTACTCTCCCTACCTCTTGTACTAATAACGGAGAGTTGGGCTGCTCTGCCTGAGCTAAGCCCTGCGGTGCACTTAACATAATACATAAATGGTTCTTCGCGTTGCTCAGTGGACTCAAGGTAGTCAAACAATTTAAAACTGTACCAGCACTACTAGGACAGGCTAGCAACTTAGACTCCAGTCCATGATGTTCCATTGTATGATGTGTGTGTGTGTGTGTGTGTGTATATATATATATATATGTGTGTGTATATGTATATATATGTGTGTGTGTGTATGTGTATATATATATATATAGTACACATTCTTCTCATTTACCTTTTTTATATATAAAAAAATTAAAAAAAGAAATCCTTTACCAATAAATGGTAGTCTGACTTCAGCCTGCATCAACTAATTATTAAAGAAACACGGCAAGCACCATAAGCAATACAGCCCACAGCACTAGTAATGGTGCCAGGAGTTCCCATGTGCCTTCCCAGAGTAAGTACTTAAACCCTTTAAGAAGCTGAGTGATGCTAACATAAGCGCTTTGCAGGTGCCCTGGTGCATCAGGGTAAGTTGTCAAACTCTTAAATGGTTTAAACACTTACTGTGTGAGGGCGCAAAGGGGATTAATTCCATTCTTCATCCAGTGTATTGCTGATTTGGTAGTTTTCAGGATACTTCATTGTAAGAATGTTTGTCACATTGGTGCTTTAATACTGTATGGGATCTGCCTAGAGAAATAGCTAGAAACAGGTTGCACCTTGCGTTTTTCTTGGCTTGGATTAAATGAACACTCAACAGAACAGTGTCCCATTTTTTTTGTCACCTTTTAAAAGTGCTGATTTCAAGAGAAATTGGGGCTTCTTTAAAGTGGTTGGGTTGCGCTCTCCCAGCTGTCAGAGAGGCGTGAGAGTCCTCTTCTTCACTTGCTTTGTGCTCCAGCACAGAGCGAATGTGAGGGCTTCTTAAAGAGAACAATTGGCTTAACTGGCAATACAAAACTCCATTGTTATACATATATGTATTTATAGTATTTGAGTGTTCCTGCAAAGTGGTAGTTGGTGTGTGGGTAACAAACCAGATTATGTGTGATGTAGGTTTATACCAGTTCAGGAACTGCATGTCACTACAATTCAAGATTATAGCCCGCTCTCATAGGATTTAAAAAAAAATACACCATTGTATTTTACGTTTTTCATTTAAACATGTTTGTAAGAATTTAGTGGTACTGCAGATTGAAATTCTTCTACATTACATTCTGTTTATTTAGGTGATGTTCACAAATGGTACAAACCGCAGGATACTAGTGGAAGACAAGTTGCCACACATTTTTGGGTTTACACTGCTTGGAGATTATGTTTACTGGACAGACTGGCAGAGACGGAGCATTGAGAGGGTAAACAAGCGCACTGCAGAACGAGAAGTCATTATAGATCAATTACCTGACTTGATGGGTCTTAAAGCTACCAACATACAAAAGATACCAGGTAAGTTCATTTTACCACTCTACCAAAACATCATTGCTAATTAATTTAATCCGATGCATGTTATCTCTTCTGGAGGCAGTTTTCTTAATGTTAAGAAAATAGAGAAAAGGCTGCATTCAATTGGAGACCTGCATTTTGGATATCATTGTAAGTTATCATAATATTAGCAATATTGACACATGTTTCATTACGGCCATGTAGAGGTGTGTGTTCTTTTTTTGTTTTTGTTTTTTTTGCATGTGGTGGTTTATTATTTCCTCTAATTTAGACTTTCATTTTTATTCTAGGGACCAATGCCTGTGCTGATAATAATGGAGGTTGCAGCCACCTGTGTCTATATCGACCGCAAGGACCTCGTTGTGCTTGTCCAATCGGGCTTGAGTTGATAAATGACATGAAAACTTGCATTGTCCCTGAGGCCTTCCTCCTGTTTTCTCGCAGGGCAGATATTCGGCGCATATCTCTGGAGACCAACAATAATAATGTAGCTATTCCTCTGACTGGTGTGAAGGAAGCTTCTGCCCTAGACTTTGATGTGACAGACAACAGAATCTATTGGACAGACGTCAGTCTAAAGGTGAGTGTCTTCTAGTGACACTACAGGCACAAAAACAATTTTATCTTAATAAAGCCATTTTGATGTATAGATCATGTATGCTCTATTCCCTGCCATTTTAGAAGTTAAATCACTTCGTTTATGCAGCCATAGTCACACCTCCCTGAATGTGATTTACACAGCCTTCCTAAACACTTCCAGTAAAGAGTCATCTAATGTTTACACTTCCTTTATTCACATTCTTATTTAATTATTAATTTAGAATTTCTTATATCCTGCCCTCTTGATAGCTTGCTAAACCCTGTAGAAACCTCCTGAATGTAATTAATGTTCGATTTACAGAGAAGGAGATAAACGTTTAAACTAAGATACACCTGATTGAAAAAATCCTTTTTTTTTGTTTGTTTTTTTCTGTTAGTCACAGCCAGGGAATGTGTGGCTATAGTGGATTTCCATCTCCTAGCTAATAGCAAGTTCGCTGCTATCAGTATGTGGAATGCCAGGGTCCCTTGTTGTTTTGTGAGGTGTTCAGGAAACATGAACACCAGGAAGAATTCTGCTGATTTCTGAATTGGTTTGTGTAATACTTCCCCAATTAGCTTGGCTATTCCCTCCCAGAAGGGTCTTATTATCGAGCATTCCCACCAGATATGGAACATTGTTCCTTTTATCTGTGGTGCATCGCCAACATTTGTCAGAGGTGTTTGGGAACACATGTGCTAACCTTGCTGGTGTTAAATACCATCTGGTGGCTATTTTCCGTATCACTTCTACGTGGGAATTGCATCTCGTGTGTATTTTTTATGTACCTTGAAGGCCCCAGTCCATGCAGCATCAGGTATCGTACGACCTAGGTCTCTTTCCCCAGTCCATGGTATATTTAGGCATAGGGAGTTTGCCATCCCTCAGAATTACGTCATAACATATCGCTATTGCCTTCTTTTTTTGGTATCAGTCCTACACACATTTTCTCCATAATGGTCATCGTTTGTACTGTTGGCGGGTTGAGAGATCCTGGTTTTCAGTAGGGATTTCAGCTGTAAGTATGGTAGGCAGCCTGTCTGGGGTAGGTCCGGTGACGGACTAATTTGGAGGAACGGGGTCAGGCCCTCCACACACCACATTTGGTGGAGAAACTGTATTCCTCTGCTTTCCCATCCCCTGCTGTCGAAGGTGGGAATGTAGTATTTGAAGCATTTAGGTGGTGTAGCTAACGAGATCGGACTCCAGGATGAGAACCTATCTTTTTTGCCATCCCATGTCCTTAGCATCAGGGCCGTGGTGGGCAATAGGTTTAGCAATTGTGGTCGCAGGGGCTTTGGTGTCCAAAATAGGCAAGAGATCCCCTCTGCCAGGGACCAGTGAGACTCAATTTCTACCCACGGTGGTTGGTTCTGTGTGTCTTGAGCTGCAATGTCGTGATTGAGCAGTGTGGCTGTGTAGTATGCTAGGATGTCTGGTCTACCCATTCCCCCATCCCCTAGTTTCCTAGTGGCTGTGGCCTTTGGAATGCGGGATTTGCGGGGGCCAGTGATAAACCTGTCGATATGTCTTTGCAATTGGGTAAAGTAGGGCCTTGGGACCTCCACTGGTAGGGAGCGGAACAGAAATTGTAGCTTTGGCGGCAGCAGCAGCATTTTAAAGACCGCTATTCGGCCCAGCCAGGAGAGGAATTTGTCTTTCCATTTATCCATGCTAGAGCGGATGTCGGAGGCCACCATGAGGTAGTTGGCTTTGACTAGGGGCTCTTTGTCAGTTTTATGCCCAGGTATGTTATATGGTCGTCTCTCCAATCAAATTCGTAGTGTGTTTTGGGGCTATGTGTCGTCTTGTGGTTCAGGTTTATTTTCATGGCCTGTGTTTTGGTTGTATTTAATTTGTAGTATGAGAACTTGCTGTATTCTGCCAAAACGTCTGTGAGTGCTGTGAGGGAGATGTTAGGTTGTGTGATGGAGGAGGACATCGTCTGCAAATAGAGTTTGTGTTCAGTTTGTCCTATGCGTATTCCCTGTATGCCAGGGTGGGCTCGAATTTGGGTCGCCAGTGGTTCGAGGGTTTTTGGTAGGGTGGTCACTGTCGCGGCTATCATGTCCTGGGGTAGTTTAGATTGGAGAACCGCATTGTTGAATAAGCGAAGTAAGTGGGGCCCAGAGTTTTAATTTAACTCTTATTTAACTCTGAAATATTGCTTGAGAGCGGAGGGTTCCTTTCTCCCTTACACATGGTTGTTTATAAGTGCAGAAATTTGCATGCGTGGCTTGGGTGAACTGTACAGAGATTCAGTTGTTATGGCTGTAGTTTGCTAATTTAGTAATTTCACTTAAATCTGATGAATGTGGCTGCCGGCCCGTAGACTTCTGGCGGATAGAGATTTATAGGAAATATAAGAACACATAGACTTCAATAAGAGGAGCATCTTCCTTATTTGAGACGTAGTCTTTGTGACTTTGCCTTTGGATTAGCAGTAGCTACAGGGACCTGTAAGGTTAGTATCTCTTTATTTTTATGAATAGGTGTATCTAATAGAGAATATTAAAAGCTGCTGTAGAACTTTTACCAATATTCACTATTTTTTTAAGGTATTTTTGTATCACACATTTGAAATGTACCTCTGGTTAGATACTTTCAGTTTAATCTCTGCTTCAGCTTTTTTGAGTTATGTTTCTGTTTATTATGACTTATGTGTTTTTGCAGTGGTTATCATTCTGCATGTGCTTTTTTTTTTTGTTTTTGTTTAAATTAAGTTGCTAATCGTAGTCAGTTGTGTGTGTGCTTTTTTTTATTTTTTTATTTTTTTTTATTTTCCATCCCCTGTTATTATGTAAAGAAACAGGTGTTAAGGTGATAGATGTTGTAATATTTACATGTACGCTCTGGAAAAAAAAGTGTGCCCCAGGCAGAATCTATATGATCACTCACCTAGCCTCCACCTACTCTGCTAGTGCTAACAATGAGTTTTAACTTTGCAGACCATCAGTCGGGCTTTCATGAATGGAAGTTCACTAGAGCATGTTGTACAGTTTGGCTTGGATTATCCAGAAGGGATGGCAGTGGACTGGCTTGGAAAAAACCTGTATTGGGCAGATACTGGCACAAACCGTATAGAGGTATCAAAGTTGGATGGACAGCACCGGCAAATCTTGGTGTGGAAAGATCTAGACAGCCCTAGGGCGCTTGCTCTTGACCCAGTGGAAGGGTGAGTTTTTGATTTATGAAAAATTGTCAGGAAATCTTGACATAGTTTTGAAATTTGTGAAATATGCTTTGATGAGTGTTAAACTCCAGCAAGAGCAATGCTTTTTAATGACTATCCCTGACTTGTTATACTTTATTACAGTGTTCTGTTTAATTACATGGCAGCATATGGTGAAAAACCGGGCAGGGGAGTTTTATCAAGGTGCTTTTGCCTTGATAAATCTTGCTTGGGTAATTTATGATGCAGTCCCTTTCTATAATGGACCCTTAATATAAAAGTATAAATGTCTTCTATTTGTTTCTCCAACAGTTGCTAGAGGCTCTTGGTTAGGCCCTCTTTCTGTTATTACTGGCATATTTTAATAAGAACTGGCCATCTTCTCCTCCCCACCCTCCTGTTGAATTGCTGTCTTCTCAGTTCAACTCTAGTTCTCTTTCAGTAGAAGGGAGTCTACACTCATGAGACTAGGTCTTAATAAAGGGGAGATTATTCACATTCTTTGGCATATCATGAAAGCATCTACAAGACAGAATGTTCCCATAGTCTGCCATTCTATCTCAATGTTCCCGTGATCCCTTTAGTCTCCCATTCTCTTCCCCTCCTGTCTCCGTCCTTTCCCCAAACATTCCCCCGCCCAGTAACACAAGACCTTTTCTGCAATCAAAATAGAGGGCTGTAACGGACCGTTTTGCTCACAAGGGGTAAAAACTGTTTAGGCGATCGTCCCCCTTTCCCGAGATGCAGGCACAGCTACTGTAGAACACCAAACTCACGAACCGCCAATAAGGGAATGCTCCAAACTCCCGAATGGTATCCAATATAGTACTCCAAACACACGAACTGGAACCATACGAATCGCTGCTAGCAGACGAATAGGAAAAGCATCCAAGCGGCTTACACTCCTAGCAATCAGTCTCTATCAGCATTCAGTAAATCCCCCCAAAGACGAGACAAGGCTCCGTGTTGAGGGTCAAGCAGTGGTCTGTTAATGATGGCTACCTGCCCAGTATTTATGCAGGTCTCCCACCTGGTGGACACTCCCCTAGGGGACCAAAGGGAGACTGTGACAAGGGACAGACAAGTAGACAAATAGGACACACAGTCACAGTATATTCCCACAATGCATCCTAGCTTCCTCCCCTCTGCCTTGGAGATAATTGAGAAGTAATTCAGTTATCTCCCAAGACACAGGCAAATCGCCATTATGCACGTGGGGATACTACAACACGAATTACTATTAAAATACACTATGTGAGACACATTACAATAAAACTATACATTAAACATGTCCCCATGCGAATGGGCTCCATGGGATTCCTATCTGGGGTATAACATAGACAAGTAAAACTACCGAACACCAGCCCTTCGTGTACTTCCACCGAACAAGAAGGGAGGTCGGCGGCTTCAGCGGTGTTCGCGCAAAACTGTGTCCGATTTTTAGTTCCATTAATTAAGTGTCGAACACCGCTGTACGTTCGCATGTTTAAAATGGCCGCCACCTCGTGTTCGTGATACGAATGGCGGCCACCCAGCATTCGTCAATTAAGCTGCGGTTAGCTTCAGGGAGGCTAATTGCCTGCACACTCCAGCTCCGAGGTGGTCCAGTCATTCGTGCGGTTGTTCGGTAGATTGAATCTACCGAACACCAGGCAGAAAAGCACGAATAAGTCTTTTCTGCTTGGGAAAAAAGATGTCTTTTAACATGGGGCCATAGTCCAAAGGCAGCAGGCGAGCAACCAGGCTTCTCCAATGCAATGTGGCGAGATTGCTCTCGTCACAAGGGCTATGTGTCCTTCTGTCCCCCTGATGAGGCTTCTGTAAAGTGTCAGTTGTGTTTGAAAGTGGTCCTTAGAGGAAACTGTCATTCAATCCGTCCATGTGTCTTTGTATGTTTGAATTCGGCCCTGTGGAGAAATCATCAATTCTTTTAGGTGCCTTAGGTCCTCCACTTTGTTGTACCAATGGCTAAGAGGTGGTGATGTATCTTTTCTCCAATAAAGGGGAATTTCTGTATTGGGATGTCGGTATGGTGCTGACCGAAAGGGTGGGGGATTGAGAATTGCTTAATTTTTGTATGAATGCCTTCCCAGTAGAGCATGTACCTGTGGCAGAATATCTCCAACACTCGCAATCCAGTGTAGGTTTGTCCAATTAACTTAATGTGGTTATGTTGTTAATTGGAGTAAACAAGTACTTAATTAAAGTAACTTTCCTGAGGGGCACCCCAGTAAGGCAGAGTCCAACTCACTCACTCTGGTGTTCTGAAATTCTGAGAGGTGGTAGTTCTCATGAGCGATTTCACTGGTGTTGGTCGTCCCCAAGTGTCGGTATCCAATGTTTGCAAATATTAAGCTGTCCAGTATGGTAATATTATATATTTTACATGACAAGGTTAACATGTACAAAAAGCCTAGTTACTTTGCATATTGCAAATGGTGAATGTATTAACGAAGTGCTTGTACGTGATGGCTGTACACTGATGCAATGAGTGCCATGACACCTTCTGTAGAATTTTTTAGAAAAATACATGTCAACTGTGCAGTGACTTTCTGGGATAAAGATTAATCCTCTCTTTTTGGAGGGATACCCTAGTGTTGCCTTAAAATTATATTTATTAAAATACTTTTATAATAGTCAACCAAAATTACTCTACTGTGTAGATTAAACTGTGTGTTAATAAATCAATCACAATTCAGGTTAGGAAAGTATACAGATATTGCTATCAGAGGCGGGCTGAGTAAGGGAAGGAAACGGTGTAGATAAAGCGAACTCCTGGCTTCTCTAATGACCACACCAATTCTAAAGATATAGTGGCAAATTAATTAAAGGGTAAGGAATCTGACTGTGACAAGAGTGTAGACTGACTGGATAACTTCCCTAAATATGCCCTTAGTTAGTCTGGGAGCTAATGCCGGAATAAGCTGATATGTCCAAACGAACTGCTGAGCAGTGAATTCAATATTATGAAATTCCCCTATTATTTAAGTATGTGCCCTAAAATCAATGTTGAACTGTAAGGGTAACATCTAAACACTTCAGCTATTGCGAGCTGACTCTTCAATAGCCTACCTTATGTTTTTATTTTTTTATTTTCCTGCTTTTTATCTCGGTATTGGCAAATTAAACAAGGCACTGTTTTAAATACAGAGAAGTAAACTTAAACATTCCACAAAAATCAGAAAATCATGTCCTGTGTTAATCTTCAATATTTTTGCGGGGACTAAAAAGCCTTTTGTGTACTTTTCCTGTTCATTGTAACAAAGGCACATTATCTGCTTAGCCTGTCAGTCTAGTATCAATAATTATAGTCAGTGGGAAAGCAAACCTGAAATATTATCTGGTAATTTAGCCAGACAGACCTGGATCAGTCTACTACAATTTCTTTCTCTTTTTACTGGTATCATGGTTAAAGTAGGTCAGTTTGCCAGATGGAAAGTAAAATTTAAACAAGAACACAATTTAAAAGCTGTTTAGTGTGTGTATGTGTGTGTGTATATATGTATGTTTATGGATATATATGTATGTTTATATATATATATATATATATATATATAGATATATAGAGAGAGAGAGAGAGAGAGAGAGATATATAGATATATATATATAGATATATATATAGAGAGAGAGAGAGATATATATATATATATATATACACATACACAAGCATCTTACAATTATATTTTGAAATATATCTGTTAAAATATATAGCCACCATGAAAATGTTCATTCAGCATAGTTCATGTTCACTATATTCATGTTTTCCATGTAGATATATGTATTGGACGGAATGGGGCGGAAAGCCTAAAATTGAACGAGCAGCCATGGATGGGACAGAGCGCCTCACTCTTGTGCCCAATGTAGGAAGAGCAAATGGACTCACTATTGATTATGTGGAACGGAGACTGTACTGGACGGATCTAGATACTAATCTCATAGAGTCCTCTAACATGCTGGGTAAGAGTTGGAAGATGGGTCTTGTTTAAATTTTTTGCTTCTAACTTGCTCATGTTGATTTGTGTATTTTTTTTTTTAATTGCTTTCATGGAATTGCTTTTCAGCTATGTAGTAAAGTAAAAATGATGTACTATGCTATAAAACCTTATGTAGTTATTATTATTATCATTTATATAACGCCATCAGATTCCATAGCGCTGTACAAAGGGAGGAATGCGTGATGGTGACTGTTTGTAGCTTCATCTCATGCTCCCAAACATCACAATGTTCATTAATGTACATCATTCTGTCCATTCCCTGGAAGTACCAGTTCCTCCTACTTTCACCCCAATAAATGCTATTGGAGCACTTATTGGTGGTGTTAGCTCAGCGGATGTAACTAAAAAAATGTTCCTTACCTCCGCAGTAAGGTGGGGGAAACTCTAAACACCACCAAGAACATAAATGTTATGAATACACAATGTAACGCCATCATATCAAGTAGATTATTAGGCTCCTGTATTTTCTTATTATATTAGTTGTCTTGCTCCACACACAAATAATTTCATTAAAAAATATATACCGATATTTAAAAAACAAAAGATTTCTCATCTATTGAGCACCTGGACGCTACGTGGCTTTTTAATTTTTTTATTTATAAAGTTTGCTACCTTTTTAGCCATTTTACTTCCAGCTGTATCCCCCCACCCCAAGTTACTAAGCAGCTGCCTCGGTAGGTACAGAGCGTGAAATTCTGGCGAAGGCAGTTGCCTCCCAGCTGTTTGTTTCCACCACTCCCCAATGTGGAAGGCAGACTGCACATGGATATGTGCCAAGCCCAGCTTCCTGCAGCAAGTCGATTTGCATTAAAAAGGATTTATCTGCAGGGGGAAATGTTTAACATCATGTTTTAAGTAACTGATCCGCTTTCCACTAAATCTTCCCCTACTACCAGTCTCTTCCTAAACCTGTCTGGTTCCCCCTGTGCCTTGTGATTTTGCACATATTAACACTGTTGTTGCCATCCCATTTTTAAGATTTATGAAGAGTACTTTTGTAAGATTTTAAATGATAAAAATAAACAAACATATTTTCTCCATTATATATACTGAGATGCTTTTATACTAAATTCACTGGGTGAAAATTGGGTTAATGCTAAAGTGATTGCCTAAACGTGTAAAATTTGGCAGTAGCAATCTGTTTGATTTCACAGTGCTCTGACATAACTTTTGTCTAAGCAATGCTGCTATTTGTTTCCCCTGTGATCACTACTACTTGATGCAAAGTAATGAAATTTGTTGATTTGCTGGTCTGGTATCCTATCTCGTCACCTTGTGAATTGATTAATTCTGCAGACATTGATCTACAACACGATCCTTTCTTCATGCATGCACACCATCTGTTATAGCCCACAAACACTAAATAAAGCACTTTATTTCTATTCAAATATTTTTTTATTGAAAATTACTCTTTTTTTTTTAAATTTTTTTAACAGTATGGAGTCTATATAGTTAGTCAAACAAGGTTCTTGCTAGCTTTATTGTGCCAGACAGAAATTAGAAAAGACTATGACGGGTCCACATTAAGCATGTTATACAAAATTTGCATCTCCAACTGTTTCCCATCAGAAACTGATTGAAACTGAAAATGCTCTTTCTGTATGGTATATAAAATTGTTCAAAGAATAAAGTTTATGGTCCGCACTCAGCCATGTTGAGAAAGCACCAGGGGCCTGTGAAATGCATCCAGGGTACTCACCTCATCTTTTTTGTTGGGTAGTGGTGTGGGTGGTCTCTCTCTCATCTGGCAGCAGCAGGTATTGCTATCATTTCAACACTTTTTAATCTTATGCAATATTCCTATTTTTTTTGCAAATCTGTTTTATTTTTGTCTGGCTACTTGTAGTATAATTAACATTTCAATTCATTGCATGCTGTTTGCATAATACCATGCCTGCCTTGATATTCATCATGTATGAGAACTGCCATTATACATTTTCTGCCATTTTTCGTTTTTGCACTAATTATCAATAAATGTGAATTTTTGCAACTTATTAATTCCCTAATTTATTAGCATAGAAATCAATTTTTTTTTATTTTTTTTTGTGGATTAAAGGGGTTTATCTATAAAGTATTGTCTATGTTTGGGAAAGGTCCTGCACCGGAATTTAACCTCGCTTATTATACAGGACTTTAAAATTTTCCTGTTATTTGATATATCATTAATTGGAGTGGTGGCATAGTTTGTGGATGGATCTCACTGCCCATCCACACTTCTATTTTTCCATATGAAAATTGTTCATGTGATCTGGAGATGCTTTATAATCCTTCGCACTTGGTTTCTGTTGCACTCCTGGAAAAACCCCACAAACCTATGTATATTTCTAATGTATGATTTTTGACATTGATATTGTGTGGGGTCATTCCCCCTCCCCTTCTGTTTCATATGCTGGAAGGGCTTTCAGAGTTTACCTAACTGTAAGAGTTTCATGTAATGTCATTGCGATCATTGTATTAAGCGCAGATACCGGAAGGCTATTTGTTTCTTCTACAAAAAAGGCACGTCTTGGTATTACAAATTAGTTTTGCTTGAAAGCTTCTTTCTTTGTAGAAAATACAGTTAGTATGAAAGGAGAGGTTGTATTTATTTTCCTTATTCACGTTCACAGGACGGGAGCGAGATGTTATTGCCGACGATCTCCCTCACCCTTTCGGTCTGACTCAGTACCAGGATTACATATACTGGACAGACTGGAGCCGTAGGAGTATTGAGCGTGCCAACAAGACCAGTGGGCAGAACCGTACCATCATCCAGGGTCATCTTGATTATGTAATGGACATCCTAGTGTTTCACTCATCCCGACAAGCTGGGTGGAATGAGTGTGCCTCCAGCAATGGACAGTGCTCTCACCTCTGTCTGGCAATGCCCATAAGCAGCTATACCTGTGGCTGTCCTGTTCATTACTCTTTGAATGCAGATAACAAGACTTGCATTGGTAAGAATGTCATAATCTGTGCAATGGAAAGATATAAAACTTTCACTTTCTTTTCAGATGAATTAAATCTTTAAGTGATAAAAATTTATTTTTCTGTAATGCATTTTTTAGAGTGTTTATTCTAATATTGATTTAGAAACAAAAACAATCTGCAATTGATTTTCAATTTCGTTTATCATATCCCTCACAGTGCATACTTAACTACTTTGTCAGGGAATTGATGTATGCGTTCAGACAATTGCATATTTACATAGGAAATATAACAAGTCTGTGTTTTATTTTCCTAAGTGCATTACTAATCCCTTTATTTCTGTTTGTGTGTGGTTTCACATTGCAAGAGAGAAACAAAAAGAAAAGTAATTTGAGATCTTTTGGGGAAAATGTTAAATTCTATCAGTGTACGGTCAGGCCCTAACTCTGCCCACCTTAAAGACATCTGGGAGCTTCCATTGAGCGGAACACTAATACTGTTTATCTGTTAATAAATATCTGTAGGTATGGAAGTAAACTCTTCGGTCATGTAATATGAACAAGAGATGTAAAGATTTCAGGTTGTGAATTGGAAATCTTAAATTTTGTTCTAAAACCAATTTATTTCTTTACAGCTCCCAGTGCCTTCCTGCTGTTCAGCCAGAAAAGCGCTATAAACCGCATGGTAATTGATGAGCAGCAGAGTCCAGATATCATCCTCCCAATTCACAATTTGCGCAGTGTCCGTGCTATAGACTATGATCCATTGGAAAAACATCTGTATTGGATAGACTCTCGTCAGAATATACGCCGGGCACAGGAGGATGGCAGCCAGGTGAGGCTACAAGTCCCTGTTTAATGTCCACTGTTATAAGAGTTTTGGGAATTAGCCTTAAAGGGTTACTCAACTATCATGACCACTTCTGCTTTTAGAAGTGTTTTTTGTGGCTGGAGTCTGTACGTGCATTGTTTCTGCTTGAAACACTGCACACATGGAGATATTTGCACTTTTGTTTTGGTCATTCTGCATTTTTTTGAAGGCTATAAATAAGAGGATTACAGAAAGTTAAGAAAGGAGTTACAAGATAGAAGCACATAACAATATTGCCCTTTTTTTATGACCCCGACACACATCTTAGGCAGTTCCTAATGTCAGTTCTGTGCAAACATTACGTCTGTCCTCAGTACATACTACGTTCTGGCAAAAGATGTCATTATCTTGTGTCCCTTCCCCCCCAAGTTGTAGCCGCCTTTTTAATTTTTTTTTTTAATTTTATTTTAACCTCCAATTTCCCCTCTCTCCACTACCACTTCCTCCATGCCCTTACTGGCTCTGAGCGCACTCATGCGCTATGAGAAAATCAAATAGTCCAGTGAAATGCTTTTCTATGAGAAGCATTTGATTGGACCACGGAAAAGAAGTCAGTGACACATTTTCAGCTAACATTGTTGGTGTTGTTTTTTTCATTATTGTATAACTAATAAGAGGGGGGAGCTATTAAATAGTGCCCAGTAAGTGTGATCATTCTGGAGCAAATGAGCACATGGAGCTTGTAGGCCTGTTGCCTATCACAAATATGCTTATTGGTACAGGAAAAGATACTAGTCTGTCATGGATGACCAGTGTTCACCAGGCAAGATGATGTTGGAAAAATATAAACAGTTTTATGCTTAGCAGGAGAACAGCTAGTGGATGGGGAGAATCATGTAGCTGCAGAGGATTATGACTATGTGTGTAATAGTATGATTGTATTCCTGTGGATAAAATGTACGAGTTTTGTTGGGAAGGGAGATCCCACCTGGGCACATTTTATACGTTCTATGCGTAATATTTTTAAGATCATTTGGGATAATGATTTTAAAGGGAAGTGATCAACCCTAATCCCAGAATGGAGTCATGAGTAGTTTATGGGCTTCTCAGATTTTTTTAGCTTAAATAAATAAATAAATAAACAAAAAATTTTATTTTTTATTTTTTTTACACTGCCCTGCAGTTCCCTAACCCAAAGGACATTCACTAAGAGAATTTGATGTTACTAATCAACTTTTAGTGTGTTATGTTTAAATAAACGGATGGAATTGTCATGGATAAAATAGCACAAACCATCAGCAATGTTTGATATAAGCATTAATATTATTTGCTTGAAATTTTTTTTATCAAAACTGCAGAATTGGCAAATAATGGTTTGAAGAAACAAAAGTAAGACAGTTGGAACCACCAGCAGGCGCTATACCCTAAGACAATAGTGCCAGGTGTAACCACTTGTCTTTTGTACCGAAGTGAGACTCCAGAGGTCTCAGGGGGCTTAACCCCAATGTAAAGGATAAACCAAGAAAAAAGAGAGTAGATGCTGAAAGTCTTAACTAAAATAGTGACACTAGGCTCATCACCTGTAAATAAAAAAAATAGTGCTGTGAAAAAATTCTTGTATACTAATAGATAACAGTGGCAAATAATAATACATAAATGTAGCCAAATCAGTTGATCAAAAAATAGGAAATAATAATGTAATAACAAAATAAAAAATCCTATGCATCAAAAATATGGAACGGGTCAATGTATTACGTATATAGGGTATGGTTCAGAGTAATAAAATACAGCTTTAATAGAAATGGCTTAAGTGAAACATAACCACTACCAATGCATGACATGCCTGTGGTATACTGAAAAAAAATGTTCTCCTCAGAGTACTAATCCCTTGATACTCCAGGATCAGGTCAAATAATAATAGGCTGATGATTGCCCAAAATGAAGATCCTGATATAAGCCAGACAAATTGCTCTGAACTAGAGATGGTAACAGGGGGGAAAAATAGTAAATAATAGAGAATCATTATCGACTATCATGGAGAAGTGTCGAAGAGTTAGTACAGGAGGAGAGTAGGCTGTAAATATATAGGGGTCAGTTTAAGAGGAAATTAGGTTTCAATACCACAGTACTGAACACGTGTATCATGGCTAGTCTTTTTTATTTGATAAATCTAAACGAGATTTTTGGTGTATGGATACAGACCAAGTCTTCTCAGATCAGGAATTAAGTAGCAGCCTAACTAGCGATAACATTATCTCATCCTTTAATCGTTTGACAAATTTATTTCAACAACAAATCAAAATTGGATGGGAAATAGCATCTCTAGAAAATCTTATACCTAGAGACCTGAGGGTACAAAATATCCCATTGACACATATTGAAAAGGTAGAGTTTATTAAAGAGTGGGAGGAAGCCGCAGGAACATGCTCTAAAAGATTTATGGAGATCTTATGCAAGTTTGAATCAAAAAGACTAGAAAAAGTGAACCAGGAGGTAGATGAACAAATTAGTAAGATTAAAATTTTAAGAACGAAACCGACTTGGAAATATTAGAAACGAAACTGAAGAACAATCTGGACAAATTCCAACAAAACATTAAGATACGCAGACATTCCAAGTTCATAGGGGACAGTAACGATTTTAAAAGTGGAAACATCTATAAGAGGAACAAAAGAATTAGGAAAAGCTTTTCCAAACCTATCTCCACATCAGAATATGAGACTAGTGGTTCTGATTCAGACTCTAATAGGGGGGGCACTACAAGCTCCCATGAACGCAATACTAGAAGTATATTAAAAAGAGGGGTCACTTTTTTAGGACAACCAAACATGGAGGACAGTGTTGCACCGCAAACACGGAGCCGCTCCAGACCTCCGCAACAGTTCAGGAGAAAACGGTACTAGATCAGATACCTGAAAAGGATGCAAACCAGATTATTAACCTTTCATCACATACTCTCATTAAACCAGAACTACAAATATTACAACGTGGTTTATCCTTCATTCCAGTTTCCAACTTTGATACGTTTAACTGGATGAAGGACATACACCTGTTTGCAAGAAAATTGGCACTTCTCAAATTCCATCGCATTCGTGATGAAAAGAGAGCTAAAAACCTGGGTTTGCAACTTTCAGATATTGACCTACTGGATACACTTGTGGATTTACTATCCTCTAATGATATGTCCGAGACTTTACAACCTCCTTTTACACAACTTAGGAGAAAGAGCCTGTTCACTCCACATCTCGCTGAATTTAAATACATCGACCTATTTGTCGAACTAATGTGTAGTGAAATCGAGAAAATTAATCCTAAAGACCTTATGTTCCAACCATTTTTCTAACCCTTTCTCCTCCAGTTTATTCTTCCTAGTTTATTTACTGTAATGTATTTTTTTTTCTTTTTTGCAATTATCTGCACTATATACATGGAAGAAATCAGTTTGTTTTTCCCTGTGTTTTTTGCAGAGTATGACTGTGGTTGCCAACCCAATGCCCAACCAGAATATGGACATGCAGCCGTATGACATGAGCATTGATATCTATAGCCGCTTTATCTACTGGACCTGTGAAGTCACAAATGTCATCAATGTAACGCGTCTGGATGGGAGGGCTATTGGCATTGTTCTTAAGGGCGAGCAAGACCGGCCAAGGGCTATTATTGTCAACCCAGAAAGAGGGTATGTTCGCATATAACAGGTTTTTTTTTTTGTTTTTTTATAAATCTTCATATTTAATGTATGATGTGATCTGATGCTATCCTGTCTGCTTTTTCTCCTATGTTTATAGATTTTAGGAGAAAGTCAAATGTCATAGGAGCCAGGAATGGTTTAAAAATGTTGGTTACAAATACCAGATATAGGCATCAAGTATTGCTTGTTTTTAGTATTTGACAGGCATTCCATTATTTTTGTGAATTTTAGCAAGGCAAGTATGCCTTCATATTAATGTTCACTACACTTCTTATTAATACCCTGTTATAAACTACCAAAAGTGTGTACAGCGCCTAAACAAAATTTGTGAATAAAACATATGTCCATTGTAAAATCGGCAGCATGCACTACGACAAAAACCTGTAAATAACAACATAGTGCAGAAAAATCTTAAACTCTTAAATAACAGATTCTGAAATCCTGGCTCTGGGTTATCAGGGATCGGATATAATCAGTGAAGGGAACGCCCCACTTATGCCTGGCTTCTCCACCGATGTTGACAGATGTATATAGAAAGAGGATAATATAGCCTAAACAATGTATTCTATACATAAATTAAAAACTCTTAAAAATGTGTGAGCTATTATAATAAGACAACTCACAACTCATAACCCATGTTGTTCGTATTCCAAATAATTCCATATCAGCATATTTTATTTATTGATTTTATTCCTACAATTCAATAATCAATGTGGTGAATGTGAGGCCTATTTAAAGGGACACAATAGCACCCAGACCACTTCATCTCATGGAAGTGGGCTGGGTGCAGAGCCCTGATGCCCTTAGCTTTGCAATGTACAGCATTACGGGTTAAGACTTCCTGTAGTAGCGGTCTTCCAGATTGCCACTAGAGGCACTGCCTCAATTTACACAGGAATGTAACACGCTGGACATCCTCATACTTTGCATTAGCATTTCATAAAATCTTCTGTTTTTACATTGTGACTGTGGTATTTTTAAAGTAACACTATTATCCACCAGACCACCTCATCTCAATGAAGAGGTCTGGGTGCCATATTGTTCTTATGGAATTGCAATGTTTTATTTGGGGGGAGGTTAACCTGCCCCGAGTGGCTGTTAAATGACAACCACTAGAAGCACCTCTCTTAATTCAGTCAGATAAATCTCAGAGAGACCCTCTCATGCAGTACAGCATTTTGCCACACTTGCGCACTAGCCTCCCATTGCGTTCATTGAGACGGAGAAAAAGTAAGTAAACATTAACCCCTTAAGGACACATGACATGTGTGACATGTCATGATTCCCTTTTATTCCAGAAGTTTGGTCCTTAAGGGGTTAAATGGTGACTAGTGAACTATAGCGTAGATATTTGTAATATAACGCTATAGCGTTCCTTTAAATGTGATACCAGCCTCATAATGTTTTTACGTATTGTAGATATTGGTTCTTACAACCTGTTTGTTTATTTTTCTTCTCTTGTATCCAGATACATGTACTTTACTAATGTGCAAGAGCGTACAGCTAAAATCGAGCGAGCTGCCCTTGATGGAACAGAACGTGAGGTCCTCTTTTTCTCTGGACTAAGCAAGCCAATTGCACTGGCATTGGACAACAAGCTGGGAAAACTTTTCTGGGCAGATTCAGACCTACGAAGGATTGAAAGCAGTGATCTGTCTGGTAAGATGTTTGTAACAGAAATGTTATACCTAACAAGACTGAAACAATCATCTGGGGTTGCTGTATCTCTCGTGCAAAGGGAGCCGGCCTGCATTTTGGATCTGAACAAGCCTTTTAGATGGGATCAGTCTGATGTGTAAATGGTTTAGATTCTCTATGTGATGGAACAAGATAACCCAAAATTAGCTGAGAACTGTGCGGGAACCCACCAAAGGGCAAACTATTTCAGCCCTTGCAAGGAATCCTGGAAATATTGAAAAACAAAAACAGGGTTGCTCTTAAAGAAACAGAGGCACAAAAATGGCTAATATTTAGTTGTGTTAGAACGTGCATTCAGTAGAGACAGTTCTTTTTTTAGATTATCCAATAGAATACCTACTTTGGGCAATAACATTTGTTTTTTTTTGGTATAAAAGGGTTTTGTTACTTTTACATGATTTGTTTCAGCGCATTCTCTAACATGGTTCCACCACAAATGGATTTTCAGGAGGTGCAGGTATAAGGGGAAAAAGTAAAAATGTCTAAACAAGATCCAGGGAAATTTCTTTCTTGTTCGATTGCAATGTGATACAATCAATGCAAAAATAAAAAATCGAAATGGTTTACCAGTCACTTGGCATTTCTTCTTTATAGTGATTTGAATTCACAGTTTTTCTTTATTTCTGGTGCAGTCTACCACTCACAGCCTCCACACAATTTCACTATTTTTCCTGAATAAGTCAATTCTGACCGAACACTTTGAGGTGAGGCTTTAACAGAGGGTACCAAAACAAAGGCAAAACTGTGAATTCAAGCATTTTATTAGAGGAAAAGCCAAGTGACTGAACTATTTGATTTTATGACACAAATGTTTATTATTTGTATAAGCGCAATTTTAAAATTCTATCTAACAGGAAAGGAGTTTCCCTCACCCTTGTCTATACGTTTTGGGCAAAAGAGAGAGAAATGCCTGTTTTGGGTGTGCTGCAAATAGAAGTATAACTTTTTATTATTATTTGTATACGGTTTTCTTATTGTTTTACTTATTTTCTTTCATTTTGTTACACGGTTCCACAGAATTTTTGTTGGGTTAACTGGAATGTCTGTACAAGGGGAATGTTTTTGTTTTGTGAGTTTATTTTTATTTTTTTTCTCGTATGATTTTTATTTTTATTTTATTTACCTGCAGACTTGGAGTCTTCCTTATTTTTGTATATGGTAATTATAAACCAATCTGGGTTGTAGGAGTTTTAAGTGGGGGGGGAAAAAATACCTTATTAAATTAATCCAAATTGTTAACTGCATGTGAGTTGCACTGGCTACGTCCATATAACATGAATAATTAGCTCCAGGCTTCTGTAAACTGAGTTTTCAGTGTGATGAAGAGTACATTTTCTTTATGTTAAATGACATGATTGCATTTAAAGCGACACTGTCGTACCGAACTTACCTTTCTTTAATCGCTTCCTCTTCTCTCCCTCTCTCAGAATCACTTCTCTGTTTCTTCCTATCTGTTCTAGTTTTCTTTAAAACATAACACAAAGTAGGGGCTACTTTGTCTTGTGTATTTTTCCTACACCTGACCATCTGACCACAGGAAAGTGTGCTCCATTTCCTGTGGTCAGAGCAATTTCCCACAATTCTCACCTTTTCTCCATGATCTTGCGATGCTTCCTTTCAGTATTCCCGAACGTCCTGTCATTTAGGCAGTACACAGGCGAAACTACCGAATTTCGTCCTAACAGAATGACAACAGTTTGTTCATTCATGTTAGGACGACATTCAGTACTTTTAGGTCGGTTCGCAATTTCATTCAATGGTTGAAATTCTGATCAGATCCATGTTTGCAGCCGCTTAGTAGATAGCTCCCTAATACCGTTCAAACCGACCTAAAAGTACTGAATATTGTTAAGTGGGCAAAGCAGGAACGGGAATTGGATGTTCCTGTCCATCTAGGGACAAATAACTTTGCTTGCAATGAGGTTTCAGAGGTAAAAAAAAAGTTTTTAGTGTTTTTGCCAATGACATATGGCAGGTTTCTTCCACACTGTCATTCTCTGAAGTTCTGCCTGTGCATAACTCAGAACGACAAGCGGGTGCATATTAGGGACTTTAACTTGTGGCTTGGTGAATGGTGTCGAGAGCAAGGATTTGGCTTTATTTCTCATGGTAGCTCTGTTTGGAATGAAAATAAAATGTACAAAAAAGATAGTTTCCATCTTTCTCAAAAGGGAACAAATCTCAGTGAGGAGATCAGAGGTTTTGCTAGGATGTATTTAAACTAGGAGGGGAGGGCAAAAGTGTGTTAAAACATCAATCCAATTGTCCCCCAAAACAAGGACAGAAAATGCCTGTAGCAAGCGTGTTCAAAAATAAGCGTAGTCATGTCTACAAATGCTTGCAGTTTAGGGAATAAGATCCATGAACTTGTGACAATAATGGCAGATGATGTAGATTTAGTCGCTGTTACTGAGACATGGTATAATGAGAAAAATGACTGGGACATAGCAATACCAGGGTACTTTTTATATAGACTAGACAGGGAAGGCAAGAAAAGGAGGATGGGTGGCCCTGTATGTGAAGGATAGCATAAAATCTAGCCTGATAAGTTAGTGAGGTGAAGATAGAGTCCGTTTGGGTTACATTAGAATTTGGTAATCACACAGTAACTTGTGTAGGTGTGATTTATAGGCCCCCAGGTCAAATAGAAGAGTTAGATAATCTACTAGTTGAGGAAATGGCTAAAATGACAATGAAGGGGGAAGTTATCATCATGGGTGACTTTAATCTTCCTGATGTGAATTGGAAAACCAAAATAGCTGCTTGTGCCAGGAGAACACATATGCTAAACTCCCTACTGGGATTGTCTCTAAAACTAGTCGTTGAGGAGCCAACTCGTAAGGCCATACTAGATTTAGTGTTAAAAAATGGAGATTTGGTATCAGATATTACTGTAGGTGAACATTTAGGATCCAGTGATCATCAGTTAGTGTGGTTTAACCCCTTAAAACCGGAGGACGTACAATTACGCCCTCTAATAGGCGGCTCTAAACGCCGCCGGGCGTAATTGTACGCCCTCCGGTTTTTGTTAACTTACCCGGTCGCCGGCGGTCCCACGCCGGCGATCGCGGTTGGGGGGACTCCCAGGGAGCCCCCCGCGGCACCTCCGTCCTCCTTGAAGCCCCCCGGCCATGTGAGAGTGGGGTCCTAACGAGGACCCCACAATCACATGGCCGGGGATAGCTGGCTTCTGTATTGCCGGCAGGGGGGCTGCCTGTAATTACAGGTGGTCCCCCTGCTGGCTGAAAATAAAAATAAAATAAGTTAATGGTGTAAAAAAAAAAAATTATATATACTTAGATCATATATATATATTATATATATGATCTAAGTATATATATATACACATATACATACACACACATACACCGTCTAGGTGTATTTTACTATTAATATATATATAATTATATATATATATTAATATCAAATTACACGTAGACTGATACTGATTAAACATATATATAATTATTGTTATATATATATTTATATATAATATAAAAAAAATAAAAATGTAAATACGTTAAAAAATAAAATTAAAAAATAATTAAAAATAAATAATTAAAAATATATAGATGTGTGTTATTTCGTTCTAACTGTATTGTGATATATATATATATATATATATATATCAAAATACACGTAGAACGAAATAATATATATATCTATATACATAAATATATACGTATATATCACTATATATATACCTATATATAAATAAAAATATTTTTAAAAAATTATATAGATATATATATATATATACACATATGTATATATATATACATATATTAATTCTACATATATATTTATGTAATATTTTTACATAATTAGGTATCTTAATTAATTACAATTAGCGGGACCTGCCTGACAACCCATGCCGAAAGTAAAGGGAATTTAATTTGCTAGCACTATATTTAACCCTATAACTTTCCAAGGCACCATAAAAACCTGTACATGGGGGGTACTGTTCTACTCGGGAGACTTCGCTGAACACAAATATTAGTGTTTCAAAACAGTAAAATGTATTACAACGATGATATCGCCAGTAAAAGTGACGTTTTTTGCATTTTTCACGCACAAACAGCATTACACAGACAATATTATTGCTGTGATACTTTTTACTGTTTTGAAACACAAATATTTGTGTTCAGCGAAGTCTCCCGAGTACAACAGTACCCCTCATGTACAGGTTTTATGGTGTTTTCAAAAGTCACAGCGTCAAATATAAGGCTTGTGTTTCATTTTTTTTCACATTGGTTACATTGCCTTTGAGACCCTATGGTAAGAATGAAAATTACCCCTATGATGGCATACCATTTGCAATAGTAGAAAACCCAAGGTATTGCAAACAGGGTATGTCCAGTCTTTTTTAGTAGCCACTTAGTCACAAACACTGGCCAAAATTGGCATTTTTTGCATTTTTCACACACAAACAAATACTAACGCTAACTTTGGCCAGTGTTTGTGACCAAATGGCTACTATAAAAGACTGGACATACCCCATTTGCAATACCTTGGGTTGTCTACTATTGCAAATGGTATGCCATTATGGGTGTAAATTTCATTCCCGGGCTACTATACGGTCTCAAAGGCAACGTAACCAATCTGGCGAATTTCAATTTCAAATGTAACGTGCTATATTTGACCCTGTAACTTCCCAAAACGCCATAAAACCTGTACATAGGGGGTACTGTCTTACACGTGAGACTTTACTGAATATAAATATGTGTATTTTATTGCAGTAAAAGCAAACAGTATTATGACATTGACCGTTAAAATGTCATGTAGAACAAAAAAAATCCAAGAAAAACGTATTTTCTCCCATTTTTTTCATATTAAATTATGTTTCATAGCTAAATATTTGATATTAAATGAAAGCCCTGTTTCCCCTGAATAAAATGATATATAATAAGGGTGGGTGCATTTACTATGAAAGAGGTGTATTACGGTTGGACAGACATGTAGCGCATGTGCCAGGTTTTGTTTACATTTTGTTTTGTTCACAATGTGTACATTTGGCTCCGTCCTTAAGGGGTTAATATAAGAACAGTGACAAAAAAAACAAACAAAAGGTTAGCATTTAGTAATTATAAAAAAAACAAACAAAAAAAAACCCAGAGACTCACCCGGCATCGTCACCGTAGAGGACTCCACAATATCTGCCACCACATTGCCCAGCATGGGAATAGGCTGAATGTGGACACTCAACCCTGAGAGCTGCGCCACAGTGTACTGTCAGAGAGCACTACGCTACAGGGTCAAGGTGCGCTTTCATACCCACCAGGTCCTACATCCAAGTCTTTTCATGGACCCTGCTTCGCTCACTCATTTTGCCTTGGTCAGCTTCTCCAAGTCTAACGCGGACAAAATTACGCAGTCGAAAGCGAAGGTTGGGTGGGGGGAACCTGCATGTTACCTAGCTTTATCTTACCGGGCAATCACGGGAAATGTGGGGTATCGGTGGTCTAACCGCAATGCTTAAACGATTATTTTGATCTGGCTAGCATACAATCTGATTACTTTTGTTTTTCATATTCACATAGTTAATCAGATGTCAAGCTCGTCATTATACTAGTTAGCCTGGCAATAACACACCTGTTTAACCTTGTATCTATAACGTGCATAGTCAGTTGGTATAGCCTGCTTTTTACCGCATGTCGTCTAATCTCATCACTGCCGCCTATCTTTCCTTCTCCTAATTATATCATAAGAAAAAAGTGCAGTTTATTTGAAAGTCATGTCAATGTTTCTCTTGTCTGACTATAATATGCTTGTGAACGCTGTTGTGGCTTGGCAAGCTTGTTACTACATGCACAACAAAAATAAAGAATAAAAAAAAAAAACCCAGAGTGAGGAAGACAAAATGATCTATAAGATTAGGCAGAAAGAGGCTAAGCAAGTTAAGAGCTTCCAAATCACACACAGAAGAGAAAATAGCACAGTCAGTAAAAAAGGGGGACAAAACATTTTTTAGATACATAAATGAGAAAAGGAAAGTAAAACAAGGATTAGTTAGATTAAAACCAAAAGAAGGAAGGTATATAGAAGAGGATAAAGGTCTAGCTGACTGCCTCAATGAATATTTTGTTCAGTATTTACAAATGAAAATTAAGGAAATGGGCCTCAGTTAGGAAAAAGCACAAACGAGTCATTTGTTACATGTGAGTTTACAGAGAAAGAGGTTTTATTTCAACTGTCAACAGTAAAGACAAATAAGTCAATGGGACCTGATGGAATACACCCAAAGCTATTAAAAGAGCTTAGTGGTGTACTAGCAAAACCATTGATTTATTTAACCAATCATTAACTGGAGTAGTCCCAGAAGATTGGAAGTTAGCGAATGTTGTGCCCATTTACAAGAAAGGTAATAGGGAGGAGTTGGGCAACTATAGACCAGTAAGCCTTACTTCAGTAGTGGGAAAGTGACGGAAACCATGTTAAAAGATAGGATTGTTGAACATCTAAAAACACATGGATTTCAAGATCAGAGACCACATGGGTTTTTTTTTTACTTCAGGGAGATCATGCCAAACAAATCTTATTGATTTTTTTGATTAGGTAACTAAAATTGAGAGGGTAGTGGATGGTGGATGGCCCCATAGATGGTGGTGGGCGGGGGGGGGGAGACTTGTTGCGGCTGGTGGGGGCCCTAAATTATGAGAGGTGAGTGGGGATCCTAAATTACAATTACCCACAGGGACTTAATCTACCCACACAAAGATGGCGGTGCCCAGGACCTAGGTCCGGGCACGAAATGACTATTTAAAAAATAGTGGGGGCTTAGGAGCATATGGGGGTGACTAGTTGGACAATTAGATGTAGTGGAGTCGGAGGGGTTAAAAAAACAAAACTATATTCAGGCCATGACCGTGCCGCTTTAATATTGAGTATAAGTAAAGTTCATGTATGACCATTCCAGAAAATAGCGATCAGTTTCTTTTTGAAAGGCCTGCATGCAGTTTATAGAATTTTAAAGTCCGGTACCAGTCTGGTTTTCTAAGACCATGTATTTTCTTTCGCCGCTTCTTCAGATGTCAACCTTGTTGTGCTTAGATTCGTAAGGAATTTGACTGCATGATGTGTGTATCAAATTTGCAACAATTGTTTTGATTGTGTTTTGTGTATTGTACCTGTTCTAACATTGCTACTGATAGTCTTAAAACCATAACCTTGTTGTGCTTGAGGACTATGGTTTTCTAACACCAATTAATTGCCATTCATTTTTAGGTGCTAACCGTGTTGTGCTGGAGGATTCAAACGTGCTTCAACCAGTTGGACTGACAGTCTTTGGGAACCACTTGTACTGGATTGACAGACAACAGCAGATGATTGAACGTATCGATAAGACTGGGCTGGGGGGGCGCACCAAAATCCAAGCCCGTATCCAAGTCTTGACAGACATACATGCTGTGACAGAGCTGAGCATGCAAGAGTACAGTGAGTAATTGTTACAGATACTTTCCATTCAGTTTATATTTCACTTTTTTTATTTTTTGGATCACAAAGGGCAGAAAACAACTTATCAGTATATCATTGACAGTTTATTTCTAAATTACTGTTTCATGATGTCTGCGTGGTTTACAGCATTCTTTAGCTTATTAGTTACTAAATGTAGTCACAAGAAAGAATGTGTCATTGGTATTTTATAGTAGCTATCAGCTTATGTGTACAGGGAAAATACAGAATAGTGTATTTGGAAAAGGGTTTGTGGGACAATCCAATCTCCTATTGTGTTTACATTGGGGAAAACATTTTTACGAACAGTTTAAAACAAAGAACATTTGTCTGTGCTGACTGCAAAGCATACCATTGCTTACTAACATTACTATTTTATCATATTGAGGAGATAGATAGGTGTGTGTGTGTGTGTATATATATATATATATATATATATATATATATATATATATATATATATATATATATATATATATATATATATATATATATACACACACACACAAATTTTGTTGCACTCCCTGCATATTCCACTGCTGGCCTGGTGCTAATCAGCAAAAACATAGAAAGGTAAAGTGGATAGCACTCCTCGTTCATTTAGGATCCATATATAGTCCTGATACTTGTTTTTAATTTCTATTTAGTCCTTAATATTATCTGTCTCTGTCTCTCTCTCGCTCACAGAGGAACACCCATGTTCTCAAGACAATGGAGGCTGCTCCCATATCTGCATTGTGAAAGGAGATGGTACCACCCGCTGTTCATGTCCTGTACACTTGGTCCTTTTGCAAGATGAACTGTCATGTGGAGGTAAGTTCAGTTTTATGGCAGTTCTTTTATTTATTTATTTTTTCCGGACTTGTACAGGCTGCAGTAGCATGCCTAGAAAAAGCAGTATACGTGATATTTCATGGATTATCCATGGTTATTATGATTATATCCATGGTTATCAATGATTATACATGGATAATATATTTCACACACTTTGGGTGCCTTATAAACATGCTGCTGTTTTCTTGCTTGGTGAATCCATTTAAATCTAGCAAGTTACATTTTGTGCGTTCTAATTTTAATTGAACATTACAGGAATACTTTTGTACAGATTACACTATAATCAGAATTATCTTCAGATTTGTGCCCTTTAGACTATGTAACCTTCTTGTGTAAAATTATGATTAAAATGTTTTTATATAATGCTTCATGCAATTTATTTGGCAATTATTCTACTCAGGATTGTCCTTCATCTCACCAGCTGTTGGCCAGTCTGTTTTTCTTTTGGTGTGGTTTAATTTATTGTTTTGTCTTTTATTTGTAATGATATTCCAGTATGACATTAGAAATACTAGGAGATGCTGGTTCTATCATTTGATTGTAGAAATAGTGCACTGCATATGAAATGGTTTAATAATTAATTTTTTTTCTGTCTTGTAGAGCCTCCAACCTGCTCACCACAGCAATTCACCTGCTTCACTGGGGATGTAGACTGCATTCCTGCAGAGTGGCGCTGTGATGGATTCATAGAGTGTCTCGACAATAGTGATGAACAAAATTGCCCTGTGTGCTCAGATACCCAATACCAATGTGCTAGTGGGCAATGCATAGACTCATCCCTGCGTTGTAATGGTGATGTCAACTGCCAAGACAAGTCAGATGAAAAGGGTTGCAAAGGTAGGAATTACTTTTTATAAATTATCATTACATTTTAAATCCTTTTTAATCCGAACCATGTTGGCTGCTTTTAAAAGGGATATTGGTTGAAGTAGTGATCTCTATTTATAACCGGTTTAATATAGAGATCTCGAATAACACTGTAAGCAGATTGGCTTAAACTGCTGATGTGCGCTATGTGAGTTGGGTCCAACTAATTTGACTATTTTAGAGTCCTTATTATAGATCAAACTTACCTCCGTTCCAGCGCCGAGATCCTCGGCAGGCTGCGTCCCCCTTTTCGTCAAAATGACGAAATAGCAGGGCTCAATCAGACGCTTCTCTTAGAGAATAGTCATAGCGATCTGGTGCACATTCGCGGTTTCATGCTGCGACAATCTCGTTCTTCATTGAGCGGCATTGAATGCCGCCCTATGAATGAGCTCAGCACTCTACCGCGCATGTGGTATGCACGTTCGCGAGCTGAGCTGACTCTCAGCTCGCTGTCTATACCCCGCCCCCTCCTACTGCAACCCTCCTCAGCCCAAACTTTGTGTTTGCAAAGAAACTCCCTCTCACTCTCCCAATATATTCTAAACATACACATCCCTATCTATCCATCCCTCCCTCTCTATCTATCCATGCTCCATCCCTCCCTCCCTGTCCGTCCCTCCCTCTCTATCCATCCATCCAGAGTGGATGGATAGGGGTGGGTAGAGAGGGATAGGAAGGGATGGATGTATCCATCCATCTCACACTCGGTGCGAGTGAGCGTGCATGTGTGTATGATCTCACACTACTCACTCCCTATCCCTTGCACTCACTTGCTCACTTTCACACTCTAGCGAACTCAGAAAATACTCGCGCACTCTCTTGCGCAGTCAGAAAATACAGTGTTTACATAAGAAAGGCTGCAGGGAGGTATTGTTCTCACATGAACAACCTCATTAAGCTGAAGTTTTTCAGGTGACTATGCTGTCCCTTTAAGCTTCCACTGTTTATGCCTTGAGTGCTTGATCCGCATTTTCTAAATAGACGTAAGAACTCTGTACATTGCAGAACTCTGTATCATTTACCGGGGTGAAAGATGTAGTAACTGGTACTCCTTTACTGTTGATTTGATAATAGTTCACATTTTAAAATTAGTCTTTCCCCTGTTTGATAAGCCATAATTATCAATTTAGGAACATTCTATATGTCTAAATAAAAATATTTAATGGCTTAGTTCTAATTTTCTTTAAAACTCTGCTCTTTTACATATGGAGCAAGAAATTTTACTTGAATGAGTTTCACCTACTAAAGCAACGCAAGTCACTCACATATGCCTTTTCTCCACAGAAATCTGCACTCCTGACCAGTTCCATTGCTCTAACGGACAGTGTATTGGGAAGCTCAAACGCTGTGACCATAACAGAGATTGTAGTGATGGTTCAGATGAGCTGTACTGCTGTACGTATGACCAAATGGACTTCTTAAAGGGAATATCTAGATAAAGTTGTTTGAGATATATTTTTTACTCATTGAAAAGTGGATCTGGCATGTTTTGTTAGTTGCATGATACAATTCCTTATGAAAATGTCTGTGTGTCTGTTTTGCATTTTGTTTAGTTTTTTTTTAAAGGGAAATTATGGTGCTAGAAATACAAAATTGTATTTCTAGCATTATAGTACCCTACAGTGATGCTTGCGCCCCTTTGCAGCAAGTGTTAAAAGCTCTTTTGTCACTCACCTGAATCCTAATAAAGGACCTAATGTGCATGCGTGGAAATCGCCACTGGACAACCCCATAGGAAATCGCGGAATCACTGCTTTTATATGGGGTTTTTGCAGATGCTGCATGTCCTCATGCATAGCATGAGGATGTCCAGCGTCAGGCGACGAAAAGTCACCTAACGACCGAGAAGCGTCTATAGTGGCTGTTTGGTAGATAGCCACTACAGGTGGAGTTAACCCTCCGTTGTAATTATTGCAGTTTATCAATAACTGCAATAATTACAATTACAGGGTTAAACTGCCAGGAGCACTGCACCCAGACCATTTCAGTGAGCTGAAGTGGTCTGGGAGCCTAAAGTGTCCCTTTTAAGCTTTTACTATTTAAAGTAATACTCCAAGCACCATAACCACTATAGTTAGCTGTGGAGCCAGGAGGGCCCTACTGCTGTACGCAGTAAGACTTTTTTTTGTTGTTGTATGATTGACATCCTGGTTATGATACTTGGAGTGTTGTTGATATTTTTTTATTTTTATACATTTAAAGTGGCTCTGACGTCCTATACTTACCTTACTTCAATCTGCTCCTCTTCTCTTGCTTACTCCTAATTGATTTTTTTCTTTTTTCTGTCTATTTCTCTTCAAATATATAAGGCAAAGTAACGAATACTTTACTTTATATTTTTCTTCTCTGCTCGACAAAAAAGGCAGAGCTATGATTGTCAAGTTTTTTTTTTTTTTACTTCCCTGGGCCGCCACTAGCAATGGTTGGAGGAACAAGGCATTGTCTTGCTCATCGTGAGACACTATCTATGAAGGCTCCAGCAACAGTATAGCACTGGTATCTGCTCCTGGTAGTTGAAGCGCCAGGAGTTAGAGGACCCACCGGGTGCTGATGGCTGGACTGCGAGGGACTGTTTCAGGTAAATAAAATTCCCTTCCTCCTGCATGCTGCGGCCATCAGACACTAAGCAGCAAAGTCCTAAGCAGCAAAGTCACCATTAAGGGTTTTTGCAAATTATGTAAAGACCCCAGAAGGTAACAGAGCTACTTTCACTTGACTGTTGGCTGTCTGCTGTCCTCCGTTATTTACATGGCTTAGGCAAGGGAAGGGTCAGTTGTCCATGACGGCATAAATTTCTTTATTGCCTCTCTGTGGGCTTGACTTAGAGACCCACCCCTGCTTATATTCTTCTTTTTTTTTTTTTTTAATGGCCACCCATTCCTATACATGTCCATCATGGGACAAACATCTAAGGAAGGAATAGTTAAATGGTTACAGCATAGTACTGTAAGTGTTGGTTGAGTATATTTCTCTGTCAGTCAAAAATCGAAAAGCCTGCTTGATTATCCAGGGAAATGTATGTCATGAACAGTTAGAAAGATTTATTCCACAGCAATAAATGAAAACTGCTTCTCTTTGGCCATTAGATATAAATCATGTTACATTTTTTCCATTTATTTTCTTTCCTTCTTTTCTTTCCTAGACCCCACTGAGGAGCCACCCCCACCATCAACCAACACAATAGGCTCTATCATTGGTGTTATCCTCACTGTTTTTGTGGTAGGGGGAGTTTACTTCATCTGTCAACGAGTGCTGTGCCCACGTATGAAGGGAGATGGGGAGGCCATAGCCAACGATTATGTGGTACACGGACCAGCCTCTGTTCAGCTTGCATGCGTCCCCCATCCCAGCTCACTTACAGGGTCTTTGCCAGGTGAATATGAAAAGGGTGTTTTTAGATGTTATACATTATCTTGTACAGCAGATGAAATATCGCTAAACAATGTGTATAATAACTTGTTCTCTGTAAAGGGAACATGAAGATTTTAACATCTATTAATCACAGTTTTTGTGACTGTTGTAAGCCATCCAACAAAGTCATTCACTAATTATAGGCTCTCCACCCCCCCCCCTCCTCCCCAATTTAGTTATTTTAATCTGAACGGTTTTCACTTTAGTAAATACATATGTATTTAAAAACAAAATTAAGAATAATAGAATCTGTAGGTTGATTTCTAGAGATAGACTTACACTTGTTAATTTTTAATACCTTGCTCGCTCAAATTTGGGATATTACCTTAGAGCTCTTAAAAGAATCTTTTTAAAACACCTCTTTTTATGCTGGTGATCCAACGAAGACTTGTTTGCATATGCACACTGATCAGCCACAACATTAAAATCACCTACCATATATCATGTCTGTCCCTCTTGTGTTGCCAAAAAAGTTATGATGCGTCGAGGCATGGGCTCCACAAGACCTCTGAACTATCTGGCATAAAAAAAATTAGCATCAGATTTTTGAAGCCCTGCAAGTTGCAGGAGTTGGGGCCTCCATGGATTAAATTTGTTGTTCCAGCACATCCCACAGATGCACAATCGGATGGGGATCTAGGGAATTTGGAGGCCAAGTAAACACCTTGAGCTCTTTGTCATGTTCCTTAACCCCTTAAGACCGGAGGGCGTACAATTACGCCCTATTTTAGGCGGCTCTAAACGCCGCTGGTCGTCATTGTACGCCCTCCGGTCTTTCTTTACTTACCCGGTCGCCGGCGGTCCCACGCTGGCGATCGTGGTGGGGGGGACTCCCAGGGAGCTCCCCCATGGTAGATCCTCCTCCTCCGGTGCCCCCCGGCCATGTGAGAGTGAGGTCCTTGCGAGGACCTCACAATCACATGGCAGGTATAGCTGGCTTCTGTATTGCCAGCAGGGGGGCTGCCTGTAATGACAGGTGGTCCCCCTGCTGGCTGAAAATAAAATTAAAATAAATTAAGTGTAAAAAATAAATATATTTATATACTTAGATCATATATATAATATATGTGTGTGTGTGTGTGTGTGTATGTGTATATATATATATATATATATATATATATATATATATATTATACATAAACACACGTACACTGTCTAGGTGTATTTTACTATATATATATATATATATATCTATCAAATTACACGTAGACTGATACTGATTAAATATATATATAATTATTGTTATATATATTTATATATAATATAAAAAAATTAAATATGTAAATACGTTAAAAATTTTAATAAAAAATAATTAAAAAATATATAGATGTGTGTTATTTCGTTCTAACTGTATTGTGATATTAATATATATATATATCTCAAAATACACGTAGAATGAAATAATATATATATATCTACATACATAAATATATACGTATATATATCAATATATATACCTATATATAAATAAAAATATTTTTAAAAAAATTATATATATATATATATATATATATATATATATATATATATATATATATATATATATATATATATTATATACACACACACACATACATATAGATTCACATACGTATATATACACATATATTCTACATATATATTTATGTAATATTTTTACATGATTAGGTATCTTAATTACAATTAGCGGGACCTGCCTGACAACCCATGCCGAAAGTAAAGGGAATTTAATTTGCTTGCACTATATTTAACCCTATAACTTTCCAAGACAACTTTCCAATGTAAAACCTGTACATTGGGGGTACTGTTCTACTCGGGAGACTTCGCTGAACACAAATATTAGTGTTTCAAAACAGTTAAGTGTATTACAATGATGATATCGCCAGTAAAAGTGACATTTCTTTTCATTTTTCATGCACAAACAGCACTTACACGGACGATATTATTGCTGTGATACTTTTTACTGTTTTGAAACACAAATATTTGTGTTCAGCGAAGTCTCCCGAGTACAACAGTACCCCTCATGTACAGGTTTTATGGTGTTTTCAAAAGTTACAGCGCCAAATATAAGGCTTGCGTTTCATTTTTTCACATTAAAATTCGCCAGATTGGTTACGTTGCCTTTGAGACCCTATGGTAGCCCAAGAATGAAAATTACCCCTATGATGGCATACCATTTGCAATAGTAGACAACCCAAGGTATTGCAAACGGACTATGTCCAGTCTTTTTTAGTAGCCACTTAGTCACAAACACTGGCCAAAATTGGCGTTTTTTTCATTTTTCACACAAACAAATACTAACGCTAGCTTTGGCCAGAGTTTGTGACCAAATGGCTACTAAAAAAGATTGGACATACCCCATTTGCAATACCTTGGGTTGTCTACTATTGCAAATGGTATGCCATTGTGGGTGTAAATTTAATTCCTGTGTTACTATAAAGTCCCAAAGGCAACGTAACCAATCTGGCGAATTTCAGTTTCAAATGTAACGTGCTATATTTGACCCTGTAACTTCACAAAACGCCATAAAACCTGCACATAGGGGGTATTGTTTTACACGTGAGACTTTGCTGAATACAAATGTGTATTTTATTGCAGTAAAAGCAAACAGTATTATGACATTGACGGTTAAAATGTCATGTAGAACTAAAAAAAAATTAAAATTTTTTATTTTCTCCCATTTTTTTCATATTAAAATATGTTTCATAGCTAAATATTTGATATTAAATGAAAGCCCTGTTTCCCCTGAATAAAATTATATATAATAAGGGTGGGTGTATTTACTATGAAAGAGTTGAATTACGGTTGGACAGATATGTAGCGCAAATACCAGGTTTTGTTTACATTTTGTTTCGTTCACAACGTGTACATTTGGCTCCGTCCTTAAGGGGTTGAACTGTCCCATGAATAATTTTTGCAGTACAGCAGGGTGCATTATTCTGCTGAAAGAGGCCACTGTCATTAGGGGTCACCATTACCATGTGTTTGTGGTCTGCAACAGTCTATGGGTAAGTGTTGTGTTTGTCAAAGTAACATCTATGTGAATGCCAGGACCCAAGGTCTCCCAGCAGGACATTGCCATGGGCATATAACACTGCCTCTGCCAGCCTTCCTTCTTCCGATAGTGCATCCTGCTGCCATCTCTACCCCAGGTAAATGATGCACACAGACCAAGCCAGCCACCTGAGTTAAAAAAAAAAAAATTATTTTTTTCTTTATATATCAGACAAGGCAACCTTCTTCCATTGCTCCAAGGTCCAGTTCTGATGTTCATGTCCCCATTGAAGGCCCTTTCGGCAATGGACAAGGGTCACTATGGGCACTCTGACTAATCTGTGACTTCGCAACCCCATATGCAGCAAACTGCAATGCACTATGTGCAGGGCCGTATCTACCACAAGGCAAACAAGGCTTTTGCCTTGGGCAGCAATTTCCAGAGGGCGGAAAAAATGCCACCCCCAAATGCCCAGGCAAATGGCTTGCTTGCCTCGTTTTATGGGGGCCAAAGAGCTGGCCAGCTGGCCACCTATGGGTCCCCGGGGTAGGCTGACAGTTGTTAACTGGGTGGGCTAAGCTGTCAGCGAGGGAGCACTTTCCCCTGAGCTTTTCTGCTCAGCAACCTCGCACGACACACACTGATGCCGGGAGCCAGAATATGACGTCCGTTACAGCTCCCGGAATCACTCGGCAGCGCGCGAGGTATCTGAGCAGGAAAGCTCAGGGGTAAGTGCACCCTCGTTGACAACTTAGCCCGCCTGCCTGCCTGCACATGCGTCCACCTCCATGCCCAGCAGACCCACTGTACCCCAGGTGAAAAATCCACCCAGCTCTCTTAAACGTAGGGAGGCTGGGTGGATTTAAATTTAAAAAAATAATAATTGTGAGTGTTGGGGGAAAGTGTGTGTGTTCAGTGAATGTGTCTGAGTGTGCGTGTCTGTCAGTAAGTGGGCGCTGATGATTGTATGTGTCTGTCTGATTGTGTCAAATCAGTGAGTGTATGTGTGTGTGTGTATATGTCAGTGTATCTGAGAATGTGTGTCTGTCAGTCAAAATGTGTGTTCGTTAACAGGAAGAGGTGTGGCCTTGGCAGGAAGGGGCGGGCACATTTAAATTAGGGGTGCCCGAGATCTGTCATGCCTAGGGCAGCACCATTTCAAAATACACCACTGACTGTGTGTTATGACACCTTTCTATTATGGCCAGCACTAAATTTTTCAGCCATTTGAGCTACAGTTCTTTTGTGTGATCGGACCAGACGGGCTAGCCTTCACTCAACCTGTGCATCAATAAGTCTTGGGTGCCCATGAAACTGAGGCTGGAAAACCTGTTCTTCCTTGTACTACATCTGGTGTTTACTAACCACTGCATACCAGGAACACCCCACAAGACTTGCTGTTTTTTTTAATGGTCTGGCCTAGTTGTCAAGCCATCACTAAATGGCCATCATCAAAGTCACTCCAATCTTTTCCGTTGCCCATTTTTTACCTGCTTCCAACACGTGAAATTCAAGAACTCACTCTTCATTTGCTGCCTAATGTAACCCAACCCTTGACAGCTGCCATTGTAACGATATAATCAATGTTTTTTTTTTTTTTTTTTTAATTCTTTATTTTTCTCAAATCACAGAAATTATCAACATGGGTTCATATAGCGTATGTTGTTTGAGCATTTCTTGAACATCATATTAGAGAGTAGGTTATACATCAAAAGAGAAATAGGAGTCGCGTAGCGTAGCTTGTGAGTGTGTTAGTGAATTGAGGGGTTTTTGTTTTTGTGGTGTATGTCTGCCTAAGCGTCGTGTGAGTGGTGTAGCCACATAACTGCTCGTCATAAGTGCGGTACTGGTGGTAGGTATGTCCGTGGCTAGTGTGGATGCCCCTCCCTCAGGAAAAGGTAGTGGGACGTGTGCGCCATGTAAAGGTAGGGAAGGGGTGGGGAAGAGAGATTTTCTGAAGTGTTGCCATTAAGCGCCTGGATGGTTTTTGTGTGTAATCTATGCCATGTGTATACGGGTGAAGAGGGTGGTACTGCTGAGTATGTCTTATTCTGAGCGGCAGTGTTATTAATCGTCTCTGTATCCCCGCTAGCTGAAAGCATGTACCATAGATAGAAGTATGGCAAAAGTAAAACAATAAAAGCATATCAATAATAATAATAAAAAATAAAAAAATTATAAAACAGTCGAGAAAATGTAAATCCGACTCATGGTCGTGGGGTCACCAGGATTGGTAGGGTTAATTAACTGGGACAGTTCCTGGCTGTGTAGAGGGTCTTGGGTGAGGGCTCAGCAGCCACTGAAATCCGACATCCCCTCAGTCAAGTCACGGGTCCGGTGGGCTTGGGTCCTGCCGCCCGGGGTATGAACTCCCTGATCGCAGCTAAGTCCACTTGTGACAGGTTTCTGCCTTCAGGGGTGGCATGAAGGGGGAGTCCCAGCGATCGCAAGTGGTCCTCCAGCTCCTGATATGTTTCTGCGCGGAGAGTCGTGTCTTGGGCTGTTATTAGGACCGTGCGGGAGGGGCCCCATCGATATGGCACCTCGTTAGTGCGTAGCTGCTGAAGTAGTGGTCGTAGGGATTGGCGCCACAGGAGTGTGTTCTTAGCTAGATCCGGGAAAATGAGCAGTGAGGCGCCCTCAAAGGTAATGGGCGTCTTTCCCCTCACCGCGGCTTGCAAGAGGGCCTTGTCCTGTAGGGTGCTGAAGCGGAGGATGAGGTCTGGTGAAGTGGAGGATGGTGCGTTGGTTGGTTTGGGGAGACGGAACATACCGTCTAGCCTCATGTTCTTGGCTTGTTTCGGAGAGAGGTGGGCCGCGAAGAACCGCCTGATAAAGTGAGGTAAGTCCGACAGTCCCACATTTTCCGGCACTCCCCTGAGTTTTAAGTTGTACCTTCGCCTCTGATCCTCCATGGTGTCAAGTCTGCGGTCAATCTTTAGCCGATGTTGATCCAGAGTAGCTAGACCCTTCTCCACCACAGTAAGCCGGTTATCATGCACGCTCTGGGTAGTTTCGAGTTGGGCCAGTTTGGTAGTCGTGTGTTCGACTGCCTTTTTGAGGGGGGCTAGGTCACCCGCCAAGTTCGCGCGGAGTTCCGCCAACATTGCCTTAAGTTGCGCTGCGGTGACCGGGTCCCGGCCTGAGGCGGCCTCCAGTGGGACGTGGCCCTGCTTCGTAGCCAGAGTGGACTTTTCCATCGGGGCAATAGCCATGTCCTCCGAGGAATAGGAGGAGCAGTCGTCCGCCAGCGCCATTTTGTCCCATGCGGCCCTCTGCGAGCTCCGGAATAGGTCCCCGATATCACGGCCCGGTGGGCTCTTGTCTGGCTTTGATTTTTTGTTTTTACGGCCCATTCTTGTTCCTGCAGTCAGGGAGCTGTTTTCTGCGAGGTTAGCAGGTCTCTTTTTCTGCAATTTCAGCCGTTTTTGGGTAGTTGTAAGCGGAGCATAGAGAGCTTGCTACCATCCAGGTTCGCTGCTAAGCTCCGCCCCCTATAGTGTATCGATATAATCAATGTTAATCAATTCAGTTGTCTGTGGTTTTAATGTTGTGGCTGATCAGTGTGTGTGTGTGTGTGTGTATATTCCTTCTTGACTCCATAATGTAAAAAGGATTTCACAAGTTCTTCACGTACATGGAAACTATATCCTTAAATATTCTGATAAATAAAATAAAATTAAATTAAAATCCAGGCTTTTTAAAAAAAATATACAGATTTTGATAATACAATTTTGGTAGAGAATTCCATTATCTATGGTTCTTACTGTCCTCTTCTGTAAGTGAAAACATCTTTCTTATTAAATCAGTGGATAATTATGAAACTAGTTCTGTATGTGAACTAATTAATCATTGTACATGTAATTTTTATTGGCACGTTTTTCTAAATTACAGTATTCTGAAGTCAACAATAGATAACGTGTGATCTTTCCAGTTGTTATGGAACTTTTCACTCTTGTGTTGCTCAGTCAATCACACATCTAGTAAATGATATACATACTATAACAAACGTATTTTGAAGTTGTAGTCTTGAAGCACTTCATTTCTAGTAAACATTGTACATTAAAGTTTTACTTTTTCACTTTTATATCTTAAATATATATTTTTATTCCCCTCTTTGTGGTATTATTGTAATGTGATTTTTACATATTAAAACTGTTAGTCTACGGTTATATGTTGAGTAAATTGATTGACAAACCACTACATTTCTCCTGACCTGTCTGTTTGCATTTCTGATTTCCCAGGTATGTCACGTGGAAAATCTGTCATCAGCTCACTCAGCATTATGGGTGGAAGCAGTGGGCCGCCATATGATCGGGCTCATGTGACCGGAGCTTCATCCAGCAGCTCCTCCAGCACCAAAGGAACCTATTTTCCCCCTGTAAGTAAACGTAACAGAGTTGCAATTATTCTCTCAATTGGCATTTCACACATGTTAAATTAAAATTATTTCTTTAACAGCTTGTAGCATGAGCACGGTCGATTTTATGTAAACAATGGTAAATTGGGCTTAGCAGAATGCTTTGGTTTTAACTAACTAAAAAAACTCTTAAATAAGCCATTTAGGAAGTGACACATGTTTTGAACTAAATTTAAATGTCAATGTTTTTGTTCTCAGATCTTGAATCCCCCTCCTTCTCCAGCCACGGAGCGCTCACAGTACACAATGGAGTTTGGGTATTCTTCAAACAGTCCATCCACTCACAGGTCTTACAGGTATATATGATTATAGCATTGTTAGTTGGCAATGGTGGGAGAGATTTCTCCAGTTTAGAAACCTAATAATTTCTTCTTCCTCTGCCATTCAGGTACAGGCCGTACAGCTACAGACATTTCGCACCTCCCACTACTCCCTGCAGCACAGACGTGTGCGACAGCGATTACACACCCAGCCACCGCCTCACCTTGCCCACTGCAAAAGGCTACACCAGTGATCTCTACGACTCTGAGCCTGGGCCACCACCCCCAACTCCACGCAGCCAGTATCTGTCTGCAGAAGAGAATTATGAGAGCTGCCCCCCATCCCCTTACACAGAACGCAGCTATTCTCATCACCTGTACCCTCCACCTCCGTCTCCCTGCACAGACTCTTCCTGAAACCTCAGTCTGTAAATACGTTGCCCACCATGTGGAGAGGAGAGACCTCAGAACCACCCTCCTAATTCATGTACAGTTTTCAGACCCCATCACCACACTCAAGAGTGTCGTAGGGTCATGGACCACAGATATATTTGTACAGAGACTATAAAGGATATTTATATATTTTCTTAACTTTTTTTTTTTCTTGTGCCATAAAAAGGAACACCTTACTACTCCCTTCATTTCTTATACTGCCATCCTTGCTTTTTGTATAAAAGGATTCAAGCAGCATTGAAAAGGTAAAATTGTACAAATATATATATATATCTATATAGATATCTATTTTTGCAAACCAAACACACTAAATGCCTTAAATGCAGAGAAAGTAAAGAGATTGCTATACCAAAAATCAAGAGCTAGAAGGATATGTTTTAGACACCATTCTTGGAATTCGTCTGTAATAAATAATGCTGCAATATGATGCCCTGACAGAGCCTGCACTATGTGCTCAGCTCTTTTGTTGATTTGAATGGATAATGAAGTATAACCAATACATGATCAATGTGATTTTTTTTTTTGATTTTTTTTTCAGTCCACCTACGTGAGGAGCTGTAATTTTCATTTTCAATTCTCTTGCCCTTTAACAAAATCACACTGACCACACAAGCTATCATTCTCTCACTTAGCATTGTAATTAGCTTAGATTTATGTATTTATTTAATCTGAGATTTCCTGCTTAATGTTTCCTAGTTAAAGAGGAATTTTGCGACTCTTCCCTACCTCTACCCACACTTTGGACTTTGATCACCTTCGGCAAGTTGAATGTTTAGCCATTACTACTGCATAGCAGATAGTCCTTGTTCAAGTGCATTAGACATGAAACTAAATCAAGTGTTTGTTTTTGAAAGTATATTTTTGGATAGGTGTGGGTTTTTTTTTTTTGGGTTTTTTTTTAATGTGCCTGGCAATATAGAAAGCAAGTCAGATACAATTTTATTTTCTTTCCAAGCTAAATTTAAAATTTTTAATGATTCAATTGCAAATTCTTATTTTTTATTCTTTTTCTCTGTTTCTAGCACGTAGCATAAAAAAACCTATTTATTTTTTATTTTTTTATCTGAGCTATAAATTGACGATAGTTCTATTCTTTTATTTTACTACCCCACTTGTTTCAGAGGTATAATGCGAAATATTCACTGATCACTGTCATAGTTTAATTTAAGAAAAAAAAAATATATATAACGTATATAAAACCACTAAACCTGTCTGGGGTGGAAACCAGGAATGATAGCATTCTTTATACTCATTTGATCACCAAAATATCTTATTTTTGTGTGATTTAATTCATTTGGGGCTGTAAGGAACGTTGTGCACCTCCCTTGTAATCTTTGCATACCTGCTGAGTTAGGTAAAACTGTGAGATCTTTGGGTCTGTGTTCCATGTTCTTCTGTACTGGACGTAGGAAGATTGGGTATGAGAGCCTGTTCTGGCACTAATTGTAGCATGCAAGGGAAGCAGGAAAAAGAGATGAATGCTATTGAGCGCAGAGCTACCATCACATTCTGATGGGGCAGGGTGTACCCCATTGTAACACCACTAGTAGAGAGGGAAGTAAAGTATTACATTTCTCACTTGTTGATAGCTGAAATGCTTATTCTGTTCTTGTTAAGTCTGCCACACCACTATCTAGCAGCAGAATGGGCAAATCAGATCTATATATTTTTTGGAGAAGCTGCAAATATTTTTGTTGTTGTTTTTGTATATGCATATGATGTAGATACTGTATTGTATTTATAAACACGAATTGTAACATTTTACTAGCCTTTGTTATCATCTGTATATCCTTGCAGCATATTTAGAGAAAATTTGTTCTGACATCAATACAGGTTCTTCTGTGTGTGTGCATGTTCAACAATTGTTCTGAACGAAGTTATGTATAAACTGTGCCAGAATAGTTCCCTTCAAGCCAATCGCAATGCAATGCCTAGGTTTACTTCTTCATTTCTTAGACAGAAAAAGGTCAGGTTGTAAAATGTAATCATGCCTATGAGCAGTGCTGTTTTAAGGCATTGATAGGCACAATGTAGTTTAAAAACAGGAGTGTAATTTCTTTTAAAAAATTGGCATGACCCTCAAAGCAGAATGTTTTTTGGTCACATATCTTCATTTTCTTACCCCCTATCCACATTATCAAGGGGTTTACTGGAGTGGGCTATATGTCAAATGTGCACTCTGGCATCTACGTAGACATGCTTTAAGAGTCCATGTGTGCTCAAACACTCCTGACATACTGCTGTATTTGTGAATGACATGGCTTAAATCATTTACATGTAATGCTCTGTGCCAGGACAGCTGTGCATGCTATGTAAAATATAAATTAAATGGACTGTAATTTTAAAAAGAAACTAAAGCACAACCCATAACTAACATTTAGTTGGTACAAAAAAAACACGTTAGAGGTCCACTTTAAGGAACATAAGGACTGTGGTGCCTTTTTATTTTTTTATTTTTTTTTAAATAGAACCCAGGAGAATAAGCTTCATACTATGGTACCAAGTATTAACTTTGGTATTCTCCATGCCATTAGTGATCAAACATGTTTGAACAGCATTCCTGCAACCAGTAATGTAATATTTGGTGGATGTGTGATTACTTCAAAGTCACAGGACTGGACAACATTAAATCGAAAATCCTACCATGAAGTAGTATATAGTCCATCTGACCTCTATTTGGACAGCCCCAAACTAAACCTTTTGCAGCTATTTTTAAATATTATATATCATTTCAAATGCCACTTATGATAAAAAAGCAAACTGAAACTGGAATAACCAAAGAAGATTGCAAAGGTTTTTGTTCTGTATTTGTATTATTGTGTTTGATTTTCTGGAAAAATTTAATATTTTGGATCCCATTCTTTAGCGTTCGATTAATAAACCCCTTCCTTGTAAACGGCTATTTCTCATGGTCCTTGAAAAAGAAGTTTACTTGTTGGCGTAATGTCAGAGTCAAAATCAAGGGAAGTACACAAACTCTCCAGACCTCATTGCAATACAGCCTGTTAGACTAGGATGCCACAACACATAAGATCTGTTTACTGGTGCTTTTTTAACCCCTTAAGAACCAAACTTCTGGAATAAAAGGGAATCGTGTCATGTGTCCTTAAGGGGTTAAAGTACCAGGTTGTACCACAACCATGGGTATGCATCAAAACCGTTTTGGTTTCAGCCAAAAAAATAAATTAGGGTCAACTGTAGGATGTAGAAAAGATTTGGAATGCAATAAGCATTTAATGTCGATTGTCATATTGCCCATCTGGCATTCAAAGGTGTATTTTTTATTTTTTTTATTTAGTGGGTCTGCAACACACCTGTATGAAGGTTTGTTTATTGTTGTGCAATGCTTTTTACCATGTTCCTTTATTTGCTTGTTTTCTTCCACCTGCCGCTGGTACGACAGATCTGCACAAGGATGTATATTAATGCTAACGACCAACATTTGGTCAACTCAGAGCCACTTGTTCACATTTTTTTTTCTTTTTTTATAATTATGTTTGTAAAATAAGCCCTTTTACTTTGTAAGCTGTGTACAATAAAAAAAAAAATCAAAAATGACTTTGTACAAAATGTTTCATTATTACTATAAGCTGAATTGTAACAAAGAATATTGATTTTTTTATAATAAAACAAAAGAGCAAAACATACAGAGAGTTGAAATGGTCTGTTTTTTGTGTGTGTGTTTTTTAGTTGTTTTTTTTTTTTCTCCCATTTGAAGATTTGGAATGTAGGTAGGTTGCATGTCTCCATCTGCGGGGGGGGGTTTGTGGATCCAAAACACCGGCTCAAAGTCCACAAGACTTGACCCCTTAAGGACGGAGCCAAATGTACACGCTGTGAACGAAACAAAATGTAAACAAAACCTGGCATTTGCGCTACATGTCTGTCCAACCGTAATTCAACTCTTTCATAGTAAATACACCCACCCTTATTATATATCATTTTATTCAGGGGAAACAGGGCTTTCATTTAATATCAAATATTTAGCTGTGAAACATAATTTAATATGAAAAAAAATGGGAGAAAATAAGATTTATTTAAATTGTTTTAGTTCTACATGATATTTTAACTGTGAATGTCATAATACTGTTTGCTTTTACTGCAATAAAATACACATATTTGTATTCAGCAAAGTCTCACGTGTAAAACAGTACCCCCTATGTACAGGTTTTAAGGCGTTTTGGGAAGTTACAGGGTCAAATATAAATGCCAGCATTAGGTTTGAATTCGTTAGATACGCTGTCAGAAGTTCCGAATGAAATTTACACTTATATTTGTTAGCATTATTTGTATAGAGTATCCCGCTGTGTTTTTAGTAGTTATTGAAACACCGGGCCGTGCTACAAAGTAGTATTTGTTTGTGTGTGAAAAATGCAAAAACGCCAAATTTTGGCCAGTGTTTGACTACAAGTGGCTACTAAAAAGACTGGACATACCTCCTGTTTGGTAATACCTTGGGTTGTCTACTATTGCAAATGGTATGCCACTCTAGGGTAATTTTCATTCTTGGGCTACCATAGGTCTCAAAGGCAACGAACCAATCTGGCTTAATTTTAATGTGAAAATGAAACGCTAAGCCTTATATTTGACGCTTTAAAATACTATAGTAATGTTAGAGTTTCACTGAACACAAATATTTGTGTTTCAAAACAGTAAAAAGTATCATAGCAATAATATTGTCCGTTTAATGCTGTTTGTGCGTGAAAAATGCAAAAACGTCACTTTTACTGGCGATATCATCGTTGTAATACATTTTACTGTTTTGAAACACTAATATTTGTGTTCAGCGAAGTCTCCCGAGTAGAACAGTACCCCCCATGTACAGGTTTTATGGTGTCTCTGAAAGTTATAGGGTTAAATATAGTGCTAGCAAATTAAATTCCCTTTACTTTCGGCATGGGTTGTCATGCAGGTCCTGCTAATTGTAATTAATTAAGATTCCTAATTATGTAAAAATATTACAT